CAATTTCTTAATCAACATCAAACTAATTTAGGATTTCAATTAACTAGAAGCCTGCTCTTGGCTCCTGTTCATTAACAGCAGTTCCTTTACTTAGCAGTGCATTAATTAATGATTAATACCGATAATCTTTACAATCACAGTGCTACACTATAAAGTAACGAGTCTAACATACATACGTGTGTAATAGGAGTCTTACATAATGTACACTGTATTGGATACAGCTCTTTATAAACACTGAAGAGGGTGTCATTTAACAGAATATTAATACCTTCTAAAACTTGTATAACAGACCAGGTGATGTCCATATTTACCACCAACTGTAACTAAATCCAGTGTCACTGTCATATATAGAGTACAGCTTTTCTTTTTTATGAACTAGTCATTTGTACAAATTCTTTGGATGTAAAAACTGTGATATTGTTTGAAACAGGCAAGTTCTCACGTTGTGCCTCAGTGGCCTTACAGCAAACAGTGGAAGGGGAGATAATTCTCGTATGTGACAATAATCTCTTATTGGAGATATTAACATTTTACTACAAACAATTGTAAATTTACTTTGAATTCCTAATGATAGGAGAAGAACACCATACCACGCCACTCCACAGTAATTACAGACAACACAGAATCCTACATCATGAGGTCCTAAAATGTCTGATGGCCCTTAACTTATCCATTGGGTCAGGTAAATAAAAAATGAAATCAAAATTGGAAAAAAAAAAAAAACACGCAACAACATAAAAAAGTAGCTGATACAATTTATTTATACTGTAAATCATCAAAACAAAAATTTAACAATCAAAACTTTTTCAATGTTATCTGAAGAGTGAGGCAAGTACAGAAGACATTCAGAAATTGCTTGCATGATGATGCACTCTTTTATCACAGAGATCAGCGATTTCACCGAAATATCTATAGCCGTCTGAACAGGATGATGTTTAAAACATGCTGACTGGATTGATGAGCATCTGAATATTTCTTCTTACCAGTCACAAAGATCATTGTAACATACTTAACATAAATTTAACCCTAAACAAAACAAGACAAATATTGGTAAATTAATGCTTATATTCTTTACATAACTTTTCCTTTGGTTGTACAGAAACATTTGGCATTTCTTATACATTTATTGAAGTATTGATTTAAAAGTTTCAACATTCTTCTATGTTCAAGTCACTATTGTCAAAACATTTGAAAAAGACATCAAAATTTCACCAAACAATGCCGTTAAAACAACACCAGTTAAACTACTCAGGTAAAATAATTTGCCCTATACTATGCTAGCAAAATTTTTATTGAACCATAGGAAATGGATCTATCTTTATGTACATTCTGACTGTTTCATAAATGTTGTATCATTGTCATCTTGGCATATTTCAATTTAACCTTGGCTGACATTAATTCAACCTGACTTCAACCTTTAAGTCTAACCTTGTCTGACATTAATTCATACCGACTTCAACATTTCAATCTAACCTTGTCCGACATTAATTCAAACTGACTTCAACCTTTCAGTCTAACCTCCGACATCAACATTTCAGTCTAACCTCCGACATCAACATTTCAGTCTAACTTCCCACATCAACATTTCAGTCTAACTTCCAACAAATCAATGATTGGAATCACACATCTATCAAACAAAACAACACTCAATAAAACCTGTATCAGTCACTGGAAAAGTAACGGGTCGCAGAGACACAAGTCCAAGTCACACAGGATCGATGTTGTAAACCTTCAAACAGGCTACTTGATGGGGGTGGCATGGATTAGGAAAGTCTCTTTACTTAATGCTAATCCTAGACAACAATGATACTTATTCTAGATGTGTGCTGTTATGAGGATGGTCATTATACAGAGGTCTTATAACACAGTGTTGATTTTCCCATGTGTACTAGCAATCCAATTAAAATTGGATCCCTCATTTCACTTGTTGTGAGGTACGTAGTAAAATGTACCTTGTGAAATGAGCGATATGATTTTAATTTGTTTGGTGTAAAATGATGAGATAATGATGCTAGCATCATATACAAATTCTAAATCAGACAGGACTATGTAAAACTAGATCTAATTATGTACAGATAATGCACTTAACTTCAATTGCACACAGAAATATAAACAACTGCTTAATCACTAATCATTATTGGTACATCTAATGTATTACAAATATCAGAACATCAAAAGTGAAGTCTTTATAATACTCACTAGATCTTTATACTCTCAGATCTTTTTATCAGTGTTAATATGTTTCAATAACACATACAATGCTTTAGAAGCCTAAAAAATATATCATCATTTCAAAGTGATACCAGGTTCTATATAGCTATTTAAATTAAGACCATAAAATTGATTTCTATAGTAATAGCTATGTTTTCAATACTAAATTTACATACGTTGAATGCATATCCAAGAGTATCACAGATATATGGCTACAAAACAGCATATGTCTCAGCTACAAGTAGCTGTTTAGAACTGGCCTGAACCTGGAAAGTCTGAGACATATTCATATTGAGACAAACATGTACATGAATAACAGATCAAACCTGAAAAAACACTAACATAGTCTGCCAATGTACTTATAAATATATATTGCATATACATGTACTCTAAAGCTTATAATCAGGTTGTTATTTCAAAGTTTAAAATATCACAGGTAATCACATTATGCTACTGTGCACTCTTATTATACTAAATTATATGTGGGTAAGCATGCATTTCCCAATTCTACATTCCTAATCACCATTTTATGTGTGGCAGTGCTACATACATACATCTAACAATAAATACATGATTCCTTCTTTCTTGTTTTAAATCAGAACTTAGGTGGTTAAATTTCTTGATATGATATTTATTTCCATCGTACCAAGATGAACTGTCTGGTGACCAATCTCCTATACCAGTATATACCTAGTACATATACCCACTGACAAAAGATATAGGATAGGTTCTCTGTATGTTTATTTACTGGAATAGCTCCCCGAATAAAGTTACCAAGTTTGGTCATGTGCAAAGAATTGGTGAAACGCATATCAACATGGCACCAATATATTGTGTTAACATGTATGTATAGATATCTCTGTGTTCTAGAATGTATCCATAGATATCTATATGTAACCTAGAATGTATCTATACTCCTATGAACACCATCCAGATTAACACTGAAATAATGGGAGCTCATGAGGTGAAATATAAATACTGTGTGATGTTCGTTTTCAATATATATATTATTTTTTTGATTATAACAACCATTGTCAAAAACTAAACAGTAAAAATGAAAAAAACAGACAACTGCTGTATCCTATGTAATGGCAGACAACTGCTGTATCCTATGTAAGGACAGACAACAGCTGTATCCTACGTTAAGGCAGACAACTGCTTCAACCAAAGGAAGAGCAGACAACAGTAACATCTAATGGAAGGGCAGACAACTGCTTCACACACCCGAAAAGCAGGTAACAGCAACATCCAATGGAAGGACAGAGAACTTCATACAACATAAGAACATCCAATGTAAGGGCAGATAACTGCTGCTCCAAACCAAAGAGCAGACAACTGCTGCACCCAACCAAAGCGCAGACAAAGGGCAGACAACTGTTGCATCCAATGAAAGGGGAACTGTAATGTCTAAATATCAGAGAATACTTTGAAAGCAAAAGCTGCCAATATGTAATGTATTTTCTGATTGAAAGCACTTCTTTGCTGGGATTTTTCATAATTCACACCATATAAAGAAAGTTTACAGAAATGTTGAAAAGGATACAACTTCTTGGAAGTATATTTATATATATAACTGAATTTCTAAGTCAAGACCTAAATGGAAAGACAAAACACTTCCACTGGAATTTGCATTTAAAGACCATTTCAACTGTTTCCGGTAAAATTCACATAATGCAAAGCTTAAATCCTCCAGATTATAATAAACGGAATAAAACAATATCAATTTTTCATTGTTTGCTTTGTCAGTTAGTTAGGAAAAGTTACATTATGCACACAACACACAACTAAAATAGAACAGTAAAATAGGTAATCCAAATGTTCTCAGTATTAACAGGTTTTAATGAAGAACTGTACACACAATGGTGATGACATTTCAGCCCCAGGGCAATGAAACTGACTAGTATATATTTGTCTATCACAGGCCTAGCTTTAGAATTATTACCTGATACAGCCATTCAATGAACCTATCAGGTATATAACGATGGAAGAAATCTGCATTACCTTTACAGGAATAAAAAATAAATTAATAAATGATATGTAATGCAAAATATATGTACAATGTAGTTGCTTTATACATTTTTCAGTCCTTACTAATGCTAGTGTTGTTAACTGCTGCATAAAATTATCAAAATTAAAGATTTACAAAAACATGGCATGGAACAAACATTTATTTTACAGTACAATGCTGTCTTCAAATAAATCATTAGTGATAAAAACCCTCCAATAAAAAAATCATTATATCCAAAAAAACTGCAAAGTGTAAAGAGCAACTGTTTAAAAACAAACATTTTCATGTGAGGTGTTTAAAGAAACATTAAATATTGTCAACATTTGCCAAAGCGAGCTGAAGTACGGTTGTTTGAAGGAAGCCTAGATAGAAGTAATAACACTGATTCCGAATCCAGTCCTAATCAGGACCAACACCATGCTAGTCTATTTTTTGTAACAGAGTTATCTGCTCTTGTGAGCAGATATATATTGTTTTGTCATTAGTTTTAGTCATAGTCAGAAAATTATTTCTCAAGATGTTACTCTCTCAAACAAATGATGTACTTATCAATACCTGCTCATAAAAGCAAATAAGTCTGCACAGAATGGAATACACAAAATCTCCTACCATAGCTACAGCTATAAAAAAACCATAGGAAATACTGAACATTAAGCAAATGCATATATTCCAGTATGAACATTGAGGCAGCTAGAATTGTATAAAAAATAAATATAAAACAGATACACTCTTAATCAAATATCACAGATATTAATTAATCAACGATTATCTAACTGTTCTCTGGAATTAAATTTTTCCTGCATAAGGATCTGCAGCTAATATTTCTGTACATCAATTTCTATTGTTCACAAAAACAGATCATTTGATCATTTCACATTTTAAAATTTGAAATACTTATTTCTCTACCATTTTTGCCTATTTGCATTGGCTAAATTTTTTATTGTTAATTAAATTAGATACTTTCTTCATCGACTGACTGAAAAATTGCAAAAATGATACAAGTTTTTCCTGTTATAAATCAAATTTGTTCACCAGGTCCCAATCTCTCATGAATAAAAAGTACAGAAATAAAAACATGCTTTTTGAATCACAGAAGTGCTCATATAACAATTGACAAAGTGGTTGTTTGACAACAAATGGGCATATATTTGACATCAGAATTTATTTTTAGGCAAACATGATATCAAATGAATATAAACACAAGTGAGAGATTAGGTTTAACTTCATTTATCTTTGTCCCAGTAATATGTACACAAATTACCAGCCTGAGTTACCTGGACAATTTTTCAATCTTTTCTTAAGAAAAGAAAAGAATATCCACCAAAGAAATAATGATGGTCTGTCTTTCATGACATCAGCTGTTCAGAAGCCATTAAACTTTAAAGTGACATGCTACCTCACTACATATGCACCTCTATAACAAAAGAGTTACGACTTAAAGAAACAAATTTCTGTTCATCTTTTGATTAATTTTTAATCTGAATTGCTTCACTGACACATTGAAACATGATTTTACGTAGAAGTGTATGTGTTTGTAAGAGGTACATCAATGATTTGTGCATGAATATATGTAAGGTGGCACATCACTTTATGGCTTTCAACATTACTGGAAAATGCATCAAGCCTTTTTCTTACTAACCTTTGTAACTGATTAATATCATGTATACATAACAGACAAATACTTCTGTAAACTGTCAATTTGTTGAATCTTTCCTGTTGCAGACATCACCAAGCTTTGTCCTCATGTTATGCTGCTAGTAACAGAAAGGTTAAATTCTTTGGTATGCTAGACAGTCCAACACGATTGGAATCTTTCAAGTGTTTGTATCAAATCTATTTGAATGCTGACCTATATAACACCATGTTGAGTGATATTCTGTAGTTGTGCACAAACATCTGGGTCAAACTGGTATGACTGAAATTCAGAAATCACAAATAAATGGTTTTATTTCCAATAGTAAACATTCAATAACAGAGCAGTTATAAATATTTTTTTGTGTGATGTTTATAAATTTAAGCATTTTTAAAGTTTCTAGTTCTTCAAACAAAATAAAAGATCTTTTTTCTGGACTACAGATTTGTGTGTTATTTAGTCAAATAGGCTGTTTGTGGGGTCTATTTTACCTTAGAATAGTACATCTTGGCCTCATCTTTATCTTTCTTTACACCGTGACCCTCCTCCAGACAGCGAGCATAATAGAAACAGCCAGTACTAATGCCCTTCCTTATGTAGCTAGGTAAACAGTCCGTTTCCTTGGCTATCTGGTCAATATTCGAAAACTGGGACACTCTGGAAAAATATCAAATGTAATAAATGATATTATAATAAGCCAATTGTAATTATGTAATGAATACAAGCATTTCCTTCATACCTGTGATTAAGAGTTAGTCAAAGTTTGACGGTGACCACATAGAGGTGTAGGGTAGCTCACTCCTCTATCAGGGTGACAAGTAAACATCTGATAATCAGATAATAGGATATTTTACCATCCACAATAAATCTGGACCAGAAAATGGAAGAATGTGAAAATTACACAAATACAATAAAAAGAAAAATTTTAATATTTAATGATTGTGGAAGTGACGGTGATATGAAAACCTACCATCCCCTGATTCTACTATCACACATACTTATCATCCGATACATAATAATCTATCTAGTAAATTATTCAGTCTTGATCACCTGTATATAAACACAATGTCTTACCTGACTGTACCACCTGTATATAAACACATGGTCTTACCTGACTGTACCACCTGTATATAAACACATGGTCTTACCTGACTGTACCACCTGTATATAAACACATGGTCTTACCTGACTGTACCACCTGTATATAAACACATGGTCTTACCTGACTGTACCACCTGTATATAAACACATGGTCTTACCTGACTGTACCACCTGTATATAAAGACATCCACCACATGGTCTTACCTGACTGTACCACCTGTATATAAACACATGGTCTTACCTGACTGTACCACCTGTACATATAAACACATGGTCTTACCTGACTGTACCACCTGTATATAAACACATGGTCTTACCTGACTGTACCACCTGTATATAAACACATGGTCTTACCTGACAGCATGGTCAGAGGCCTTGGTGTATAGTTTGTCTATAATACTGTACCACCTGTATATAAACACATGGTCTTACCTGACAGCATGGTCAGAGGCCTTGGTGTATAGTTTGTCTATAATACTGTACCACCTGTATATAAAAAAATTGTCTTACCTGACAGCATGGTCAGAGGCCTTGGTGTATAGTTTGTCTATAATACTGTACCATTTGTATATAAACACAATGTCTTATCTGACTGTACCACCTGTATATAAACACATTGTCTCACCTAGCAGCAAGGTCAGAGGCCTTGGTGTATAGTTTCCTTCTGTAATACTGGGCCACCAGGTTACCCATGGCGTATACATTGCCTCGCTCTGCAGCCTCCTTCAGGCACACATTGGCTGCATCTGGGTCAGGCTTTACCCCTATACCATGCTCATACATGATCCCAAGGGCTCCTGTTGGTATGAAATAAAACAAAAAGAATCAAATCTTCTGTCTTCTATAGATCAAGAACCTTACCAAGATTTTCCACAAACTGGTAACTCAACCACAAAATAAAGGTAAGATATGTCAATTAATTGAATTTCCATAAAAAGTAACAATGACCTCAACATAGGAAACACAAACTTATCCAGGATGTTCCACACTTGATCATTGTGTCTATTTTAAATTAAGTCCCTACAGAAATAAAGTATCTATAATGACAACACACTGATTTGAGATGGGAAAAGATAAAACATGAGAAACATATATATATTTATAACCTCTCAATAAAATTCTGAGGTCACAAAAAACAAATAGCATTTGAAACCCATATTAATTCATGCATGATTCTGATATCCCAATAAAACACTGCATTTTATGATACTTTATTCAAATTTGTAAATTTCACTGAAAAGTATAAAGACTTAAAAGATTAAATCAATGAATGCCTCATTATTCTACTCTATCATTTGTACTTACAATGTTACAGTAGAATGGTCCTACAAGAACACAGAATTACCTTGTGATTCTAAGTTTCCATTTCCACATGCCTCGGAATGCCAAAAGAAAGCTTTATTGAAGTCTTTTGTATCTTCCCGAGAATAAAACATGCCGAGAGCAGACTGAGCCTTAACACTTCCACTGGGGTTTCCATCATCTGCTGCTAACAACCAGTATCTTCAAAATAAAGAAATAAACAAATGAATGAACAGTTATTAATGTTGGCAAAACCACATGCAGGCTCTAGCCTTGTCTTGTCAAATGATAATTATACAATGGATGTATAGGCAGATAAAGATAGCAACAATAAAAGTTATCATCAAAGTATTTCCTATGGACACATACCAGAATGAAATATTTAGACAATGAGCAAAAAGGTAATAGATAAATGTTTTTTGTTTCCTGGGGTTTATCATACCTTCAACAGCCAGGGTAATTTTAGGAGGGAGTTAGTTTCTAATAGCTAGCAAACAGGGTAAAACACCTTGCCCAATCAGATGTAATGAAGAGCAAATGTGACAACGAAAGAAATTCAGCAAATTACAGTGTTCCATTTCCACACTGCCACATCAAGGTGACTTCTTAACCAAAATATGAAGTTCTAGTGATAAGTAATGTAGGAGATACAGCCCATATAAGCTTTAATGTAGGTCAAAGGTCAAGATGAAACAAATTGGTATGACAATAAGCAAAGTCAAAATAAGCTATTACAACAACATGCAGTGTGACAGTTTAAGTTGTGGGACTAATATTTTGTTGTTGTCCCAGTATTGGCTAGACAACAAGGATTGAATTCCATGCAAAGTCACCTTCAGCAGGAGAGCATGACTATATATCTGAGATTTAATTTACTGTGAAAGCATTTGCTGGGTATCAGATGCTATCTCTGGTGATCACAAATAAATACAAATTATGTCTGCTTATGCAGATGCAACAATGAATGTAATATAAAGTAGTAACAGACAGTTGTATTCGTTAAAAGCAGCAGATATAACAACTGTGACATCTGATACCTTTCTGCCTGTTGATCAGACTGGCGCTTGACACCATATCCCTGGAAGTAGGCCCTGCCAATATTAAACTGAGCTGCTCTCACAAGATGCTTGGCATGTCTGGCTTTTGAAGATTCAATTTTCTGAAGGTATTCTATAGCTAACTCCTGCACACAAACAAAAAAGATGACAAATTTGTAGCTCAAAAAAGCAATTGATAATTTTATCAGTGTTAATAAATCTTAAATGTATTTGTTGAACAAAGTTTATTGATTATAGCGATTAAAGAAAATATCAGAGGAAGCAGTAACCACTCTAATTAAAACCAAGAAAACTAACCGTATTAGCATCTCCTCCTACTCCATCAAACAACATGACAGCCAGCATAAACAGTGCTTGGAAGTCAATGTCCTTTGCTCTCTCGAAGTATATTCTTGCCTTTTCGTAATGTGCCTAGATCCAATATATAAAGATCATCTTAATTGATGTGGGTACATTTCAAGTCACATATAATTATTACAAATTGTTAATCATTCCTCATTCAATACTGTAAAAGTACAAAAAAAAAAAACACAAAACAAAACAAAAAAGTCACCAACACAAAAATACCCCTACCATGTAAAAGCATAACTCACAGTTTTTATATGCACCTATGTCATCATTAATAATATCACATCTAAAGTACTATTTCCAACTTTTACATTAATTTTACAATTTCTTTGTATCTGTTAATTCTCATAGCATTTTATTTTTCCCCCCACTATTACTGTAAAACTTAGTTAAAGATTATAAAGAGAAAATAATGATGTTGATCAGAATTGGGTTGATCTCGCCCTCTTAAGTAACTTTTCATGGTTCTCGTGTATGATATCTGTCTTTTATATCAATATATAACCATTTGCACAATGGTGTTGAGACACCAACATATGTAAGCATCCAACCAAATAATAATTCCATGAAAAGCAAAATTAGGATTAAAAGGAAGACAATTTACAATGACAATACCTGCTCATAATAAAATAATCCCAGCTGGAAGTAAGCTCTTTTGTCACCATTTTTTATCCTCTCTAGTAAAATGTTTTCCACTTTTTCCATCAATTCATTTTCTGTTAGAGCGTTAAATCCAGGAGTGTCCTTAGTCTCCTGTTTTAAGTCATTCAGAATGCTGTTTTCCTTTGAAAGCAGATGTTCTGCTGGAATTTCTGAGGGCATCTGCATCATTATTATTGTTGAAGTTTTTGGCAAGATCTAGGAATAAAACACATTGAAAAGTCAATATATTGTGTTTAAACTACAACCATTAAAATTTCCATTTACACAGACACCATGTACTCTCTGTTATCTCTGATTATCTCTCATCATTATGATGTTTATATGTTACTATTAATTATTTTCACCACACATGACTTCGTGACAGGAAATTAAAAAAAGTTATGCTCATATTACATTGGTACATCTATCATGAAGTGCCGTTATGCACTCTAATATACTTTGGATATCAGGTTAACACATTCGAAAGATTATGTATATGTTAGAGTCACACTCAGCTGTGTCAACTTCATCTTGGGGCATGGCAATTTTCAAAGCAGTTTTAACAGCTGAACCAACAATCGTGACCGGGCTTTCACAATTTAAAAAGTCCTGTGGCAAACTTATGACAATCACACACTTTGCCGACTTATTGAAAATGGTAGCTTATATATAGAAAAAATAACATCTAATGTAAAAACGAACACAAACATCTAAGAATGGATTTACGACTTCACCCGTTAGGGCGGCAAAGGAGAGCTAAACATCCAGGTATGTCCACATCTCGTCCAGCTACTTCATTAAAGAGTCTTTTGTGCCATGACGACAAAGGTCATGACCTGAGAAGGCAGACGCGGGGTGAATAAAAATAAATCTTTATATCAATATATATGTATATACAAAGGTCTAGAATTTAGGCAATTCCAACCACGTAATTAATATTTCTATCATTTAAATTCAAGTTGTCATTTTATCAAATCATTTTACTTTTGTTGACAATAAATTACAAATAGGTATAGTCGATAAATCCGGATTTTCTAAATTGGGACCATTTTAACTTGATGGATTCCAAGAATGTCTGTTTGAACATGGTTTTGTATCACGTCCAGTTTCATAAAGAATTCGTGGTGTCTTTGATGGGTGGATAATACTGGACATGACATGTAAATTCCATCGCTTAGTTTGAAAACAACAAAGAAAATACCAACTAGTAAACAGAATCACAATCCAAACCAAAATTCAATAAAATTAATGGAAAATTTGAAAAAAAAAGAATTAAAAATTTAAACGAAGAATAAGACAACAAAGAGAAGAAAAATTGGTGTTCCGGAAGAGTAATCGTCTTAAGCTTCATCGACGACACCAGCTTCGCCAAATCTTGGTCAGTCCATGTAAGTGATATCACGTTCCCAAATGAAATCACATGATCACCAACAACGGAACCCCGTGGCCTACTGACAATCTCCAAACACGTCCAACTTCATATCATACATAGAAATAGAGTCATTATGACGATTGTAAAACTCGACCGATCATTCAGTTTCAGGATGTCGGTCTAGAAAGGGAAACTTTTCCAATGGGGAAATTGTAATTATCACGCTTATCACGCAGACAGCATACAATGTAGGAAACCATAAACAAAAATGGCATACACCTTAAAAAAAGTCACCGAAAACTACTGAAAGATTCTGTTTTTATGCATTACAGACAGGGACGTATAATACGTCCTTGATTACAGATAGTAAATTGATATAAAAGAAAACAAAAGACCGTGGCAGGTTGTGTTCCTCAGCTCGTTTCCAAGAATAAAAAATCAACGGATTATATTGCGAATTTCATAATGTTCGTTAACATTTATTAAATGATCATATTTATTCAATTTTGTTTCCTTTAGTTAGTGTTGAAAAGTTAAAATATATACCATATAAGAGCGATCCAGGACGACCCATACAACTCTTTCGGATATTTTGACCGGAAAACTTTGAATTTAATTTATACCATTCTTCAGTCCGTAACACCGGAAACGATAGTTGCAGAAGATGACACGGAGGAACCGGAGACTGATGGTAATGTTTCTATCTGTTCATGCTGAGTGTATATTGCCTCATTCACCGTATTGAGTGAATTCTGATACTTGTATTGAACTTTTTGTTCCGCAACGCCTTTTTTTTAACTTTGACTATCTCGAATTAAATCAAACCTGTGGTAGCAACCGAGGGTAGAATCTCGTTAGATTTCGATGCGTCTAAATCAATCTATGTAAAGACAAAAAAAAAAAAAAAAACTAAAACTTTTATCAAAGTTTACGCTTCTTCTCCCCAAAAATATGCCATGTGAGAGATTCATTACGACATGGCGCTGGTGAGCGAATTTACAATTGTTGTAAAAACGACACAAATTCCCAACCAATGGTCGGTATGAAGGAGCATTGGACTTTATAATCAGGCAAAGATAACATTAGAACAAAAATTGATGGAATTGAAATTATAAAGTTGTGGTGATACTGAGACAAATGAAAATTAATAAAAAAAAAAAAATTGATTCCACTTAAAATGCAAATGTATGTTATATAAATTCCAGAAGGCCACCACGCAAAAAAGTGACCATTCTGCATACTCGAATGTACAGATAAAGTGTACATTCTGTGACGTCATTTCATAGATAGAATGCAGGTGTATAGTCATTTGATGTTTTCCTGTGTATCGTGAATGACAAATTCATGTTTAACCTATGTATTGACCTCTCAAGGAAACATCTAACGGATTTTCAGACTTCGGATTGGCAACAATTGTAAATGGTGAGGTACTTAAAAAAGTAAATTTCAACTTCATTTACACCAGTACAAATGCAGGATATAGTCTCAAGTATATTTCAGATAACATGATTTTTAAAAGTTTCTGTAAAAGTGTTATTTTCTCTCTTCGATTTTTAAGTGATAGTTGCACTTTCTTGGACTTTAACCAAGTTTTAACCTCATGAATTTGAATATATGTCAAAAAAGTTCGGCAGTCATTTCCCTGTCCAGTTGAAATGTCATTTTCTACCTAATGGGTACCTCAATAACTACGCAAAAGTCACAGAATCTATGCCTGTGGTAGTATAGAGTACCCATGACCAAAGCCACATAAAATCTTTTTGGATGTTCTTGTCTTTAAGAAATTCCATATAAACATTATAGTGCAGATCATAGGTGGGGTGAAATAATGTGTGTGCCGTATAAACCAGTGTACAAGGTGCTATATATTGTAATATGATAAATTGCGTATTTATGTTAACATGAATTCAACTTTCAGCTGTCTTCTTACCCAGTTTGATTGTTGTATGAAGTAGACGTTATGAGCCAGGTTGAAGTTGGGCCAGACAAAAAGGCCCACGCAATCCTGCTGAGGAAGAGCTCCTCAAACAAAATGGCATTGAAGGAAAAGGTTGTCCAGATCTACGAAGTTTTCTTTCAGGTAAATGCCCAGTGCAATGTCAAACTTAAAAAGAGATATGATATTTAACTTCAGTGTCTTGTATAAGTTGGGCTATAAATTAACAGCATAACATATTTCTTGTTAACCTTTGATATTAATTAAAAACCAATATCAACATAGTTTATATTGTACAGTAGAATGGCAGGAAATATAACTTTAGAAACAGATGTCTAGCCACAAGCACATTTTACATTATCTTGCATACATATACTTTAAAGATGGTGATTATAAACAAACTCTAATCATGTTTCATACAAAAGTAATTCAGAATATTGTTTTGTATTCAGGGAGAGGACCCTTCAGCCGGGAATAGTAACTTCTGGGATGAGTTCTTTCTTCTTAAGGTACTTAATATACAATACAAATTGCTTGCCTTTTTTCCATTTCACATAACCAGTATCTGACTGAAAAAAATGGTTTTTAACTGAGACAGAAAAATGGGTTAATTGATACTTGATATCAAAATGAAATTATCTATGACAGTGTAAGAAATAAATTTATGTATGCAAAAAAGGAGTGCGTAAAAATTATATCTAAATATTTGGTTGCTTTGATATTTATTGTAATCAGGAAATTTAGATATTTCTTAATGTGGAACTTTGCAATAATACTTTTTTGAAAGGTTTTTGAAAGAATAAGGTGGTTGTCTTTAAATATTTAAAACACTGATGATGTGTGATAATGTGTTAATTTTTACCATTAATGTCTTATTTGGTCCCTGATTTTCAAAGTCATTAAAAACAAATTGAAACAAATGTGACATTAAATTTTACAGGTGAACATCAGCTACATAGAAAATGAGTTTGAGAAAATGACTGGAGAAGCTTTGCTTGTTTTGAAGGTAAAGAAAACTTTGTCACATGTTCCAAGTATTAATAGTGAAGAACTATCATCCACATTTTATAATGAATGTCATAAATTTTCTTAACATATGCAAATAGCATTTAGTTTATATAACCATGTGTAAATGGAACTTTTGTAAAACATCCTTTCATAGCAAATTAATAAACATTTATTTGTCTTTTCAGGATAACTTAAACATGTTGTTTTATCGAGCAGTGGAAACATTGAAAGAAGATAATCCTATTCGTGTTGTGAATGCTTTATATGTAAGTGTCCCATTCTGACTAGGGATGATAACTGGTCTACTTTATAGAAAAATATCCCAATAACTGCATTGTCTTCATCAGTAGTGAGAATAGTGATCAAAATTAAATATATCCACTTAAAAGTTTGTATTAAGACTACATATCCTGGTTGTCAGACAGCTCCCAGGTCAAGTTTTGGTAAACATTAGACAATGACACAGGTGTTTTTATTAACAAGGTTAAGTACTTTTAAGCGCCTATTACACAAAGTGCATTCAGATTTATATTTTTTATGTTATTTAGTGGATTGTTTGATTGCATAACCCTTTTTTATACTTTGTTCTCTCTGGAAGTGCTAGTAATGCAGATTATATTTTAATATTGATACCATATCCTTCGTTCAAATGCTGTTTTTTTTTCTAAAACGTTCTGATACAACACAAAGAAAGCTCATCTTTTCAAACATTTATTGAATTCCTGTTAATATTATTATTTCCTATTATTTGATGTTGTGATATCACAAATACACAATGCGAGCATCAAAGGGATGCAACAGTATCAGTATCTCTAGTTCTATAAAATTTCTGGTGCACCATGATTTTCCTAATGGAATAATGTTAATTTCTCATGTTGTAGTTTGATATATAAAGTAGATGTTTCCTAATGCAATGCCTACTGACTTGTTGAATTGCCTCTGTGTTACATGAGCATTCTTTTGTATTTCTGTGTTTCAGACACTTAGTGCTTTGATCAATGGAATCTTCAAGAAAAACCTTGGTGACTTTGGGTTTGATGTTATTAACCTTTTAATTGGGTTTGATTCTGCTGAAAATGTCATGCAGGTACAATTCCTATAAACGGGAAATTAAAATCAGTGTTTTGTGTAGAGTTAAAATTATTCAGGAAGTCAATGTAAGTTCATCATAATTTTGTTTTCTTTGTTCTGTGCTGAACTTTTCTTTTGCTCTTTCAATTACATTTAATACCAGTCTTTCAAAAAGTCATCTTTGTTTTATGAAATCATGTAAGGTGACACCTTTTTGATGTCAGATAAAATATTTAGTATATTCTATCAATTTAAAAAATTTGTTATTCTTCTGTTTCATATTTTGTTATGCCTATATGAAACTGATACATGTAATATTGTGTATTTTACAGACCTTGGTGGAGAGTTTAAATGCCATTCTTACAGGAGAGTATTCAATAACACTGAAACAACAGGTCCTGAAGTTTCTACAAGTTCTAGCTACAGTAAGTACTGAACATCACTAAAACAGCAGGTCTTGAAGTTTCTACAAGTTCTAGCTACAGTAAGTACTGAACATCACTGAAACGACAAGTCCTGTAAAATAAGGGCTAAGTTGTGAGCAGAGATATCCTTTTTCAGCTCAACTCTTCCCTGACTATTTAAGGCTGTGTCCACAAAGACTAGTGTCATTTGGTCCGTTTATGTAGAAGAGGTAGCACTCTTGAAGCAATCAAGGCAAGTGATTTTTACAAAATGGACAAAATCGCTGAAAGAGCATTGATTCAATACTTCCATAAGAAACAATTAGCACTTGGATATCCATACTGATATGGCAGCAACACAAGTGAATGATGCCCTTCATATGCCACAGTGAAAAGGTGGATGGTGGAGTTTAAACATGACAGGCAGAGCCTTCAGGATGATGCCTGTCCTGGAAGACCTGTCACTGTTGCAACCCCAGAAATGGTCAACATAGTACATGATATTGTTATGGCTGACTGGTGAGTTACACAGAGATATGTAGCCAGTACAGTTGGGATTTCACTGGAAAGAGTACATTCCATTCTTATGGAAGACCTTGCAATGAGAAAGGTCTCAGCCTGTTGGGTACAAAGACTCCTGAGAGTTGATCAAAAGCACACCAGACTTTGTTGTGTAATTATCTTAACCTTTTAGAGTTCGATCCTGCTAACATTCTGCAGAAGTTTGTGACTGCAGATGAAACATGGGTCTATCATTTCAGTCCAGAGGCCAAACAATAGTCTAAACCATGGAAGCAACCTGGTTTGCTTCCACCAAAGAAGGCAAAGACTGTTTCATCAACTGGAAAGGTTTTGGCCCAAGGTTCTGAGATGCTGATGAATCTGATGGTAGATTATCTGCAAAAAGGACCAACAATTATGGCATCCACTCCATCAGACTTTCATCTATTTCCAAAATAGAAAAAACAGTTCCAGTACACACTTTTGGTCAGATGATGACATCATACATGCAGTGGAGGACTCTCTGAATTGTCAAGAAAAGCACTTCATTAAAAGTGTCATTGAGGCTTTTTAAAATTGCTGACAAAAAGTGTATACATAATGAAGGGGATTATGTTGAAAAATATATCCACCAAAAGTCTAGAATATGAGGTTCACAGCCTATGAATCTCTATGATTCCCTTTTAGATGACCTTAGATATTTAGTACAGTACCAATTACCATTGTTTGATAAGATATTGCCTCACATTCAAAAAAAAAGTTGAAACATAGTTTTGCCTGACAATGATTAAATTTTGATTTGAATGACTTATCAAATGATAATGAAGTCATAAAATGATTTACATGTAGTATTGTTAAATGGCTTCAATATGAGTACTGCATACCAGTAGATTGTACTGATTAATGACCTGTAGTTTGGTTGGTGTTACAGGCTGCGGACAATGTGAGTCAGAACACTCTTTTGGAGTACATCCTCATTAACAGTGTGTTTGAGTCACTGCTACAAATCCTCAGTAATTCCATCTCCAGACAAATCCTTGGTCGTGATGCTGTACTACTTCTCACTCTTCTGGTGCAGTACAGGAAATACGAGGTGAGTGTGGCATGATCATTATTATCATTATTTGCAAGTCTTTGTATTAATAAAGCTCACTTTGATGCCATTTTCAAGGGAGATAAGTTGGTAACTGTATCAGAAAATGTTTTTGTAGATTATTTCATATTGGTTTTGATTTGCGAGACAAAAAAGTATCAATTGTAAAGCATTGAAAATGTTAGAGACAGTGCTTTACCAGAATGTTTTGTTGTCCTATTGCATTACTCATAATAAACATGTGAACAAAATTTTGATGGTGTTCCAGTCAGCCAACCAGTACATAGTGAAGCTGTCCATAGTTGATGATGAGTTGGCCCTAACAGTGAGTATACATGTATTACATAGATATTACAGATGTCTCATTGTCACACAAGTCTGGAACATTTTAAGATTGCCACTGTTACTGATCTTCATTATGAAGAAACATCTGTCAAAAATGTTGTCACTGTGTAAACTCTAACATTGTTGGAGTTTCTATGAGCTTACTCTATATTAGATATCTCTCTCTAAATGCCATATGAATCAGTCAGTTTATTGTGATGTCACTCCAGCAAATTTATCTGTCATTTGTTGTCACTTTCTAAACACTTATCATTTCACAATGGGTAACACTGTTATAGTGTAGGTATGTCTCATCAAATCTGCAGTTTTCTGGAAATAAGTTTGTGATTTAAATCACTGTTAATGAGACGAGTGCTGAATTAGATGTGATATGGCAATCTGGATTTCAGCATTAAAGAGGACACATTCTTCATTTTTAGGGCTATGCACAAGTTGTCCACAGTGCATTGTCAGATTTCAACAAGTAAGTCTGCTTTTTTTGTACATTACATATTAATAAAGCTATTAATTACGATTCAAAAGCAACAGATATACCTGGTATAAAATACACTCTTAAGGATTTTACAGTAAATGGGTAGATCTTGTAAAGTAAATTGATTGGCTGAAGTTGTAATGTGATGCATTTTAATTTGAAAATGTGTTTGTTCTTCAGTAAATTTAGGAACAGGAATGCTGAACAACAGAATGGCTGGTTCTCAACTCTTGCTTCTATGGTGAGTGAACTTCATTCAACACCCAAAAGAGTTCAAATTGAAGCTATTAAGACCAAATGGCAAATGGGAGAAAAATCACCCTTGCTGAAATTAGTTGAGGCTATTAATGGGTCATGTGAAATATGTTCATATTGCTAGACTTGCATATGAAATATTGTTTGGCTTCAATGTTTTAGAAAGTTTTTTGTAAGGAGAAAAGTAATGAGGCTGTATATTATGTATTTGTTGAGTTCATATTGATACCATCACATCTATCACAAGTCTTATAGCACATGGTTGAACTTCTAAATGATGCAAGATCAAATTCATTCATTCTTGTGGTGATGACATAGAGTCAGAGAGGTAACATGTCCTGCGTAACAATGGAGGCTGACATGTCTCAGACAGACGTCTGATGATACCAATCATCATTCTTTAATGAACCATCTGTTAAGAAGGTCATCACCAATTGTAAAAGGAGGGAAATCTAATTATATTCAAATTGTGAAATGTACAATTAACATTTCATAAAAATTTACATAATATATCAGAACAACAGATACGTTTTTTCTGATTTTCTTGTTTCTAACTTGAAGTTTCTGTTATGACTTTTTAAATAGCAATGCCTTTATTGTTGTTAATCAATGTAAGCTTGAAAAATGAAATTGCCATCCTGAGAAGGATTTTCCTTGCTGAAGTGGAAAAAAATGTAAGGGAGATAACTCTTATAACTTATTGTTATGCTAAAGGTAGGGTGACCTGTTACATTTTTACTATGTTCAAAAACTTAAGGACTTGGAACCAAATTTTATAAAAAAAAAATTTAGCCAATACTGCTTTGTGTAAGTATGACACAAATGCTGCAGTCATTCATTGACAGAAGCTGTTTTTTATTTGTTTTAAGTACAACTTCAAGTTAAACATAACAAATAGTATGTGACAGGTCTAGTGTTCTCATAAAAATATGGAACTATTTTTGCAATGATATATAACATGGGAAACAATTTAAATGTGCACAACTCAAATGCCATATTCCGATAAAAAAGAGCAAGGAATCTAGTGACAGATCACTCTTAAGTAAAACAGACAAGTAATAAGACATCTTCTTTTCAGAAAGTGCAACATTCAGCAGTGAGACAATACATTCCATAAACTGGAAATTCAATTTTGCAAATTAATATTTTTTTTCAATTTTCAATTACTTTATTAAATTTTGTTTGTAGGTTGGAAACATGTTTGTCGCAGATGAAAAACAAATATCAGGAGTGAGGTATGAATATTTTGATAATTCTTCTGACCAAAGTAAATTTTTTGTGTATCAGTTATACTTCAAATATATGAATACAAGTATGTTATAAAAGATAAGGAAAAATAAAAGGAAGCAATGTTGTTAGGGTCCTGAGCCGAAGGCTCATGGTGACCTATTGCCATCATGATTTGTCTGTCGTCATGCGTCGTTAACTTTTCACATATTCGACTTCTTCTCAAGAACCACTGAATGGATTTTGACCAAACTTGGCACAAAGCATCCCCATGGGAAGCTGCTTCAAGTTTGCGAAGAAAAAGGGCATGGCCCAAATAGGGGCCCCAGGAGGGGGGAAAAGGGGGTAAAATAAAGTAAATCTTTAAAAATCTTTTCATGAACCAACAGACAGATTAAGTTCATATTTGATATTTAGGGTCCTTATGGCATGGTCTACAAAGTTTGCGAATGACAAAAAAATCGGGTCAAAAACGGCCCAACTAGGGGGCGCTCAAAAGGGTTAAAAATTCAACTTTGACCAATTTCAACCAAATTTGGTAGACAGCATCCCATAGTGAAGGACATATGAAATTATGGTGAAAAAAGTGATTATGTCCCCTTTGGGGCCCATAAGGGATGTAAAAGGGGCCATATGTAAAAACCTTCATTAAATGACTACTTCTCAAGAACCAGTGGATGGAATTTGACCAAACTTGGCACAAAGCATCCCCATGGGAAGCTGCTTCAAGTTTGCGAAGAAAAAGGGCATGGCCCAAATAGGGGCCCCAGTAGGGGGAAAAAGGGGGTAAAATAAAGTAAATCTTTAAAAATCTTCTTTTCATGAACCAACAGACAGATTAAGTTCATATTTGATATTTAGGGTCCTTATGGTATGGTCTACAAAGTTTGCGAATAAAAATAAAATCGGGTCAAAAACGGCCCCACTAGGGGGCGCTCAAAAGGGTTAAAAATTCAACTTTGACCAATTTCAACCAAATATGGTAGACAGCATCCCATAGTGAAGGACATATGAAATTATGGTGAAAGAAGTGATTTTGTTCCCTTTGGGGCCCATAAGGGATGTAAAAGGGGCCATATGTAAAAACCTTCATTAAATGACTACTTCTCAAGAACCATTGGATGGATTTTGACCAAACTTGGCACAAAGCATCCCCATGGGAAGCCGCTTCAAGTGTGTGAAGAAAAAGGGTGTGGCCCCAATAGGGGTCCCAGGAGGGGGAAAAAGGGGGTAAAATTAGGTAAATCTTTAAAAATCTTCTTCTCATGAACCAACAGTCAGATTAAGTTCATATTTGATATTTAGGGTCCTTATGGCATGGTCTACAAAGTTTGCGAATGAAAAAAAAATCGGGTCAAAAACGGCCCCACTGAAAGGGTTAAAAATTCAACTTTGACCAATTTCAACCAAATTTGGTAGACAGCATCCCATAGTGAAGGACATATGAAATTATGGTGAAAAAAGTGATTATGTCCCCTTTGGGGCCCATAAGGGGTGTAAAAGGGGCCATATGTAAAAACCTTCATTAAATGACTTCTTCTCAAGAACCATTGGATGGATTTTGACCAAACTTGGCACAAAGCATCCCCATGGGAAGCCGCTTCAAATGTGCGACGAAAAAGGATGTGGCTCCAATAGGGACCACAGGAGGGGGAAAAGGGGGTAAAATTAGGTAAATCTTTAAAAATCTTCTTCTCATGAACCAACAGTCAGATTAAATTCATATTTGATATTTAGGATCCTTATGGCAAGGTCTACAATGTTTTGTAAGGAAAAAAATCGGGTCAAAAACGGCTCCACTAGGGGGCGCTAAAAATTGTTGGAAATTCAACTTTGACCGATTTCAACCAAATTTGGTAGACAGCATCCCTTAGTGAAGGACATATGAAATTATGTTGAAAAAAGTGATAATGTCCCCTTTGGGGCCCGTAAGGGATGTAAAAGGGGCCATATGTAAAAACCTTCATTAAATGACTACTTCTCAAGAACCAGTGGATGGATTTTGACCAAACTTGGCATAAAGCATCCATCCCCATGGGAAGCCGCTTCAAGTGTGTGAAGAAAAAGGGTGTGGCCCCAATAGGGGTCCCAGGAGGGGGAAAAAGGGGGTAAAATTAGGTAAATCTTTAAAAATTTTCTTCTCATAAACCAACAGTCAGATTAAGTTTCTATTTGATATTTAGGGTCCTTATGGCATGGTCTACAAAGTTTGCGAATGAAAAAAAAAATCGGGTCAAAAACGGCCCCACTAAAAGGGTTAAAAATTCAACTTTGACCAATTTCAACCAAATTTGGTAGACAGCATCCCATAGTGAAGGACATATGAAATTATGGTGAAAAAAGTGATTATGTCCCCTTTGGGGCCCATAAGGGGTGTAAAAGGGGCCATATGTAAAAACCTTCATTAAATGACTACTTCTCAAGAACCAGTGGATGGATTTTGACCAAACTTGGCATAAAGCATCCATCCCCATGGGAAGCCGCTTCAAGTGTGTGAAGAAAAAGGGTGTGGCTCCAATAGGGGTCCCAGGAGGGGGAAAAAGGGGTAAAATTAGGTAAATCTTTAAAAATCTTCTTCTCATGAACCAACAGTCAGATTAAATTCATATTTGATATTTAGGATCCTTATGGCAAGGTCTACAATGTTTTATAAGGAAAAAAATCGGGTCAAAAACGGCTCCACTAGGGGGCGCTAAGAATTGTTGGAAATTCAACTTTGACCGATTTCAACCAAATTTGGTAGACAGCATCCCTTAGTGAAGGACATAAGAAATTATGTTGAAAAAAGTGATTATGTCCCCTTTGGGGCCCGTAAGGGGTGTAAAAGTGGCCATATGTAAAAACCTTCATTAAATGACTACTTCTCAAGAACCAGTGGATGGATTTTGACCAAACTTGGCACAAAGCATCCCCATGGGAAGTTACTTCAAGTTTGTAAAGAAAAAGGGCGAGGGCGCAGGAGGAGGAAAAAGGGGAAACTTGATACGAATGTTCTACACAAGGTCCTGGCAAGTGTTTTAACTTTTTTGGGGCGATTCAGAATCCAAGATGGCCACCCTGGCCTCTGTTTGGCTAAGACATTATGGACTTCCTCTCAAGAACCATTGGGTGGGTCATGTTCAAACTCGGTACAGATGTTTTACACATGGTCCTGCACAAGTGTTGTTACATTTTTGCAACATTTTAAAATCCCCAGATTATTGACATATATTCCTCAGTTGACCGTTAAGGCCCTTTGGGCCTCTTGTTTGTGAAGTATTGTTAATTTCTTATGAAAAACAGGTAAATAAGAAAAATTACACACTTAAAGCCGTTTAATGAGGTTTTGAAATGGCAATTTTTAACCTAAAAAAAAAAATACTGACCAAGGTTGAAATCACAAGTTGATCAAATGGTTTATTTGATATTTAGGATCCTTATGGCAAGGTCAACAATGTTTTATAAGGAAAAAAATCGGGTCAAAAACGGCTCCACTAGGGGGCACTAAAAATTGTTGGAAATTCAACTTTGACCGATTTCAACCAAATTTGGTAGACAGCATCCCTTAGTGAAGGACATATGAAATTATGTTGAAAAAATATAATGTCCCCTTTGGGGCCGGTAAGGGATGTAAAAGGGGCCATATGTAAAAACCTTCATTAAATGACTACTTCTCAAGAACCAGTGGATGGATTTTGACCAAACTTGGCACAAAGCATCCCCATGGGAAGTTACTTCAAGTTTGTAAAGAAAAAGGGCGAGGGCGCAGGAGGAGGAAAAAGGGGAAACTTGATACGAATGTTCTACACAAGGTCCTGGCAAGTGTTTTAACTTTTTTGGGGCGATTCAAAATCCAAGATGGCCACCCTGGCCTCTGTTTGGCTAAGACATTATGGACTTCCTCTCAAGAACCATTGGGTGGGTCATGTTCAAACTCGGTACAGATGTTTTACACATGGTCCTGCACAAGTGTTGTTACATTTTTGCAACATTTTAAAATCCCCAGATTATTGACATATATTCCTCAGTTGACCGTTAAGGCCCTTTGGGCCTCTTGTTTGTGAAGTATTGTTAATTTCTTATGAAAAACAGGTAAATAAGAAAAATTACACACTTAAAGCCGTTTAATGAGGTTTTGAAATGGCAATTTTTAACCTAAAAAAAAAAAATACTGACCAAGGTTGAAATCACAAGTTGATCAAATGATATATCAACCAAAATCATAAGACTATAACAGTAATTTCTAAAAAATGATATGGTAAAATGTATTTCTTTTTGTTCCTTGGATTAACATTGTATCAAATGCTTTATAAAAGGCTGAAACATGTATATTTTATTGATTTGTGAAACACCACTATATGAAAATAGATTTATACACAGCTCAAAAAATTTTGTGTACATGTAATGACAGAGATTATACATCAAACATCTGGCACCTTGGAATAAAAAAATGAGCAAGTTATCAAGATTTTGATAAAGTATATAGTCAATTAATAGCCTAAATCCCCAAGGAAAAAACAAGTTGAGAATAATGATTTACCTGTTTAGTTGAAAAAAAATACTTACTAGGCTGAACTTGTTATGAAATTCCCAAATACAGATGTAATATTGAAATTATAAAAAAAAATTGTAATCCCTTAAAGTTGAAATAAAAGTATGATTTCTCCATGTGTCACTTGGAAATTTTCTAAACTGTGTAACTAGTAACAACCTCTGTTACACACCCAGTCAATACCTGATAGGTTTTTTTGACCAGCTTTCATTTTCATGGCTGATCAATATTACTTTTTTATTGGGAATCATGTGACAACGTTCGGTTAATGAGAAAGTGTGAAAAATTATTTATTTCTATTATGTTGTATGATACTCCTCAGTTCAGAAGTATTTTCTAGTGAGTTTCATCTTAAAACGTCAGCCTTGCTTTGTATGGTGATACTGAGATGTTAAGTGTATTATATTATTTATTACAGAGCAGATGATGCTGTCCTTCTGTCCTTGTATGAAGCTATCCATCTCAACAGAAACTTTATCACAGCTCTAACACATGTATGTTACTATATAAATCCTTTAGAATCATCTTTACTATCTCAATTTAGACACTAAATCCTTGTTTTTTTAGTAACTTAACATATATATCTTCATCCTTTGTTCTCATTAACAAATATACCTCAACAGACATTAGATTGTTCTTTGTCATTATGGTGTTTGTAAACTTTTCCTGGTCAACTGTTGTAGTGATAAGCTGTATAATTTTTCTCTGATATTCATTTTGCAGACTCACACTCCATCGACACCCACCACACCCCCTTCCTCTCCCACTCTGTCACAGAGCACACCTCCAGTGGAAAAAGGTACTGCAGTGTATCATGCTGAGGTTGGGATAAAATGCTATGCACAGCTTAACTTGACAATAAAAGATTATTTCTTCCAATAGCATTTCCATGACTTTTTTGGTAGAGGTAATTTTCTGATGAGATATATTTTAATTCAGTTGATGATTCAACAGTTTAATTCGCTATATTTATTAGAAAATCTGCCATACTAATTAAGTACATGTCAATTTCAGCCTCACCGACTGATATATCTATGATAGAAAGTGTAAATCAGCCCACAAACCTGCTGGTGACTTTCCTAGAGTATAGCTCTGTCGTCATGCAGGACACCAAAGGTATCACAACTTCATAAGATTTCATACAGAAATGATGTTGTTGTATTGACATATTATTTCTAAAAGCAGTAGGTGACTTCTTTCATAATTGAATGCTTAATTTCACCTTTTTGCAATGAGTTACATTAAGATTATTTCCACTTGCCCTTGTACATAAAATATGACGGTCAGGTCAAAATCCATTTTAAGTGCTTGGATTAGGAGTGACTGGCTTAGTATATTTCATTGTTTAATTAGAAGTGACTGACATAGTTCCTGGCTTGATTAAGAGTGACTGACTTAAATCTTTCCATTGTCTGATTAAATGTGACTGACTTGGTTAATTTTCAGGTTAAGAGTAACTGACTTAAATCATTTCATTGTCTGATTAAATGTGACTGACTTAGTTAATTTTCAGGTTAAGAGTAACTGACTTAGTTCATTTTCAGGATAAGATTAACTGAGTTAGATCCTTGTCTGATGAAGAGTGACAGATTTAGTTCATTGTCTGATTAAGAGTGATGTAGTTCATTGTCTGATTAAGGGTGAATGATTCAGTTCATTGCCTGATAAAGGGTGACTTATTAAGTTCATTTATTAAGAATGACTGATTTGGTTCATCGTCTGATTAAGAGTGACATAGTTCATTGTCTGATTAAGGGTGACGTAGTTCATTGTCTGATTAAGGGTGACTGATTTGGTTCATTGTCTGATTAAGAGTGACGCAGTTCATTGTCTGATTAAGGGTGACGTAGTTCATTGTCTGATTAAGGGTGACTGATTTGGTTCATTGTCTGATTAAGGGTGACTGATTTGGTTCATTGTCTGATTAAGGGTGACATAGTTCATTGTCTGATTAAGGGTGAATGATTTGGCTCATTGTCTGATTAAGGGTGACTGATTTGGTTCATTGTCTGATTAAGGGTGAATGATTTAGTTCATTGTCTGATAAAGAGTGACTTAATTGATTCTTTGTTACTTGTCAGGTTGATAGTGACATAATTGAATGCCAAGTTAAGGATGACTTAAATTAAGTTAAGGCTAGGAAAATTTGTATCAACCCTTTTGAAGTATTTTATATCAATAAAAACCTACTGAATTTAAATGCATTTAAGTTGAGTCACAGAAGAATAAATTCTGAACTTGTGTTTTAGATGTGACATAAGTGCTTTCCTTATATATTATTTCTTCCTGTTTCAGATACCACACGTTACAGCAATGCCAAATTGTGTTTAGTTATCCTCACATGTATAGCAGAGGTAAGACATATTGCAGCCTTAATTATCCCCCGCCCAACAAAGTTAGAGGGGGTATTCAAATGAGTTCTGTCTGTCCATCCTTTGTCCAGAGGCTGCTTTCTGCATGATTTCTTTTGAAGGGTTGGTTGGATTTTGATGAAACTTGGTTTGTACACTTGTTACCTTAATACCTTGCCCATATACGATTAACGACAAATTCTGCACATATTTAATGAGGCTGCCTTGACCTGATTGGCTGATTTCTATAATCACTTTATGGGAATGCTTTCTGCACATTATCGTATGAAGGAATGATAAGATTTTTGGGAATCTTGCTTTGTAGATTTATTATCTTAATTTTTTGTTCTGGTTCGATTATTGGCAAATTCTATGCATATTTTATTAGACTACCATGACCTGATTGGCTGATATTTTTCAGCACTCTAACTGAATGCTTTCCGCCCATTATCTTTTGAAGGAACGAATGAAATATAAGGAGACTTGCTTGGTAGACTTGTTACCTTAACCCCTTGTTCAAGTTTGGTTATCTGCAAAATCTGTGCATATTTAATGACGTTGCTGTGACCTGATTGGCTGATATCTTTCAGTACCCTTACTGAATGCTTTATGCATGTTATCTTTTGAAGGAACAAATGAATTTTGATGAGATTTGCTTGGTTAACTTATTACATAATTTCCTCACTCAAGTTCGATCAACCATGAATTTCATGCATATTTAATCATGGTGCTCTTACCTGATTGGTCGATTTCTCGAAATAGTCTTGAGTATATCTTTCTACGTTTCTTTACAGGAATGATCAAATTTTTAAGAGACTTGCTCAGCAGACTTAGTACCTTAACCACTCTCTTAAGTTCGATTATCGGCTAATTCCGCAAATATCTTATAGGGCAGCTGTGACCTGAATGGCTGATACAAAATCCTGAAAGAAGATAATAATAATAAGAAACAGAACAATATGAATAGGTCTTTTCATCAGTTGATGAAAAGCTCTGATAAACCTATGATAGTGAATCTCCAAAATGTTTTTAGAAGTCTTAATATTTGAAGTGATATTGCACTGTCTCTGGTTATGATTTGTTTTACTGTTAATAACTTTCTTGCAATTTTACAAATCTGACTATTAGGTACTGTACTGTATTTTATTAGTGTATATAAACCATTTCACTGATTTGTTATACTTGAGTGGTAATAGCATTGTCAATTGATCCAACATTACTGAAATTAATTCTATCATTGCCATTGCATAAAAAAAAGCAATATAACGGTATGATAAGCTGGCTTTAAAATTCACACAATTATCCTACTAAATTGCTATTATATTGATCACTTTCAACAGAATTGTAAACTGAACATAAACAATAAATGGTTTTATTACTTAAAAATTCCATGTTGTCACTTTAAATGTATATATTAAATATATTAAAATATATTAAATGAACATGGACAAGGGATCTTGATGACTATGTTCTTGCTCTCAGAGGGCATGTGATCTTTCAGCTGATGGCAACATTTCAAGTTCTCACAACAAATGTTATTTACTCTCTCTATAGGATGATAGTTTGTAGATAGGGACTATAATTTTGAAGGTAAGGGATACAATTTGTAGGTAAGGACTGTACTTTGTAGGTAAGGACTATACTTTGTAGGTAAGGACTATGTTTTGTAGGAAAGGACTATGTTTTGTAGGTAAGGACTATAGTTTGTAGGTAGGGACTATACTTTGTTGGTAAGGACTATAATTTGTAGGTAAGGGATACAGTTTGTAGGTAAGGACTGTAGTTTGTAGGTAAGGAGTATAGTTTGTAGGTAATGCAATAGTTTGTACAGTAATTAAGTAATGATTAATGCTGTTATATTGTGGTTGTTTCAGGATCAGTATGCCAATTCACTGATGCATGATGTTAACATGAACTTCAGGGTAAACCTTCATCGAATGGTATGTATATGAGATTGATGTGTAAGTACAGTAGTTCATTGAAGCAACAACAAGTATACATTATCATAATATTGTTGATGTGGTGTGATGGTACAGGAGATATTATGTTATATTACTGCAATACACTGATTTCAGGGTAAATCAAGTGGTAGTATTCCCCTAGTGGTATGTTTTCTTCTGTGAATATAAACTAATTCCCCATAAAGAAATTTAACCAAAACAGAGCTTCTCAGTATATTTCTACTTAACATATTCTCAAATCATGCTCTCAAGGAGAAAATGAAATATTAATCTAACTGCAACGTTGTCATACTTTATTCCTGTAATCTTCGTGTATGCTATGTAGTTTTACTCTATCCCAATTTTACATTGTGACCAAAAGGGCTGTCCAAAATTCCCCTTCTTCCACAATGGGTAGTATTCCCAAAATTCTAGAATAATCCATGGATTTATACAGTGTATGTCAGATACCTTTCCTTGTTTCTTACACATCTTATTTAGTTATAGACACAAAAAAACTGATTGCACCCAATGAAGTAGGCGTTCAGATAATTATTGTGAAAATTGTCTTTTGTATTTTTTCAGCCTATGAGACATAGAAAAGTGAAAGTAGCCAATAACATTCCTTCCAGACCTTTAGTATGTGCACTTCTAGGTAAGCCTTAACTCAATATTAAATCATTTATACATTACAACAAGATAGCAGATCTTTTGTATGTGTACTTCTAGTAAAGCCTTAACTCAATATTAAATCATTTATACACTACAACAAGATAGCAGATCTTTTGTATGTGCACTTCTAGGTAAGCCTTAACTCAATATTAAATCATTTATACACTACAACAAGATAGCAGATCTTTTGTATGTGCACTTCTAGGTAAGCCTTAACTCAATATTAGATCATTTATACACTACAACAAGATAGCAGATCTTTTGTATGTGCACTTCTAGGTAAGCCTTAACTCAATATTAAATCATTTATACACTACAACAAGATAGCAGATCTTTAGTATGTGCACTTCTAGGTAAGCCTTAACTCAATATTAAATCATTTATACACTACAACAAGTTCGCAGGAAATATTTGCCAAGGGTCTAATTTTATTCTGCATAAAACTACACATTTTTGCCCTGTGATGAATTTGCTGCACCATACTAAAACGTGTATTGCTTCTTAGACTAATTATTTCTAGCCTATTGATGAAATAGCAGTATGGAAAAACTGTCAAGATATCTTGTTCAAAATGTTTTGATAAGACCCTTGGTTTAAAAGTTTGGTATGCCCTTGCATTGAAAGTGACCTTTGGTCCAAAGTCAAGGTCATAGATGAAATCTACAGTATTGACATATGGCATTACTTACACTAGTACTACTGATAAAATTCTGTCCTTACATGGAACAGCATTTGGGGCATTTGTGTCACTTTGATGTAATACCAAGTTAAAAACGAGCTAATGCTATGTTGTTTTTAAGGTATTAATAAACTGTTTTTCTTAGTCCATTTTTTGTATGTACTTATCACTAGATTTATCATGACTTTTTTTTCAGATTTAATGGTAGAATTTACGATGAGTCATATGATGAAAAATTTTCCAATTGAGTTGTACCTGTAAGTATTTTTTGCTTAAAAAAATCTAAAAATGATTTTTGTCAAATCATTGATACTACATCTAGAGTTAACTGGACTCCAGCTATTGGTGATATGAAGTCACTTTTGAAATTCAAGTGTTAATAGATAGACTTATATTTTAACTGGGCTTACACTGTCAGTGATAAAATGTTACATTTGATCTTAGGGTAATTAGATAAAACCTTTACAGAATTGTATTTTCTGTAGACATCACATACACAGTCACACTTCATCTATATATGATTTTGTCTCCTCAGTCGGTGTCTAGGTATCACTCAGCGAGTTTTGTGTTATCAGAAGAAATGTCGTGTAAGGCTGCAATACCCTTGGAAAGAATTATGGACAGGTACGTTGCTCTCTCTTCAGCTGAAACAGAATGTTTTAATTGTGAAAATCTTGCTTGGCAAAAGGTTAGTGTCTGTGTCACTGTACATATACATATATATATTACATATATAGTACATTCTGTGTCTGTGTGTCACTGTGTGTTTGTGTATATGTATATGTAATCACTGTCACTGTGTGTGTCTGTATATAGTACATACTGTGTCTGTGTGTCACTGTGTGTTTGTGTATATGTGTATGTAATCACTGTCTGTGTGTCAATGTGTGTGTCTGTATATAGTGCATACTGTGTCTGTGTGTCACTGTATGTGTCTGTATATAGTACATGCTGTGTCTGTGTGTCACTGTGTGTGTCTTTATATAGTACATACTGTGTCTGTGTGTCACTGTGTGTTTGTGTATATATGTATGGTAATCACTGTGTCTGTGTGTTTGTGTATATATACTCAACGAAAAAAGAAAGGTTAACATGTTTCCTTGGCGAATACCTGTAAATGAGTGAAAACAAAATGACGTTTGTGCAATAACAGGAAATGGTAATGTTTTACATTACAAAATCCAAGGGGATTACCAAAATCATTCAAGCGTGAAAGTCTGTATTAGCGAGAGAGCTGCACGAGGTTTTCTGCGACTAACTTGTATCTTCGCTTGAATTTCATAAACATTCAAACTGACAATTGTTCCTTAGATTCTTAGTACTTAGAAATTACTGAATCTTGCTATCTATCAACTTTACCATTATGCCCCGGCTGTCACAAGTACAGAGAGAAAGGGCTGTATGCATGATCCAGGCTGGGGAGTCTCGCCGTCGAGTTGCACGGCATTTTGGTTGCAGTGTTAAGACAATTTGCCAGTTGGTAAGTCGTTTAATCCAAACTGGGTCAACATCCGATTGTCCCCGAAGCGGCTGACCCCGTAAAACGACAGCCAGGGATGACCGTCGTATACGATTGATAAACTTGCGCAATTGATTCGTAACCGCAGTAGAGATTACAAGGACATTTTTTGGGCGTTGTGTGTCTCCCCAAACAGTCCGCAACAGGTTGAGGGCCTACCAGTTTTGCGAACTGCTGCGTCGCAGAACGGGACCGCTTTGACGGCGGAAGTGTAATGGTTTGGGGTGGTATTTGTGGGGGGACTCGTACCAGGCTTGTTGTGTTAAATGGCAATTTAACCGGCATCCGATATCGGGACGAAATTTTAAGACCAGTGGTTCTGCCATTCTTAAGACGCCATGGCGTTGGCGTCATTTTTCAACAGGATAACGCACCAGCGCACACCAGTCGCGTCAGCAGAACTTTCTTGCAGCAGAATAACGTACAGGTGTTAGATTGGCCATCTAAATCACCTGATTTGTCACCGATTGAGCATGTCTGGGACATTCTTGGGTGACGCGTGAGAGAATGTCAAAATCAGCCGTCAAACTTGCAGGAGCTGGCCCAAGCCTTGATTGCTGAATGGAACAACATCTCTCCTCGAATTATCCGCCGGTTTACGAGTTCCATGCGACGACACTGCAATGCTGTTTACTTCGCAAACGGTGGCCATACCGTTACTAATGGTGTTACCTTTGAAATTGACCCCAACGTCCTTTACAGTCGAATAAAATCAACTGAACGCAAAGTTTTATAATGAACCATGACTGCAGTTTTATCAGAATTGATCAATTACTTTATTCATACATGATTGGTAAGGATTTATAAAGGGGTTAATTAATTAATCACAGAATAAAGTAGTGTTACCTTTCTTTTTTTGTTTAGTATATGTATGGTAATCACTGTCTGTGTGTCACTGTGTGTTTGTGTATATATGTATGGTAATCACTGTGTCTGTGCATCTAACATAAATGTTTCGCTTTGCTTTTTATTACTTTTTGCTGTTTCTACATTTACATGAATATCAGATATACAAGAAGAATAAGGATCACTTTTTCTGGTTTTCACCTGTTTATTTGTATTTCAGCTCTGATAAATCTCCTGAAGTTTGTGTTGTCACATGAAACACTCCTGGTGAAGAAACATACCAACATATTCCATTTAGCGTCCAAGGTTAGTTCTATGTTTAGACGTTGCTGATGTCAGTTAAGTCTAAATACTTATGAAAGTCACAACCTTCAAACAGAAGAAAGCCAGATATCAGAACTGCTTGTGAGACACATAATTTGTTTTATTTATTCATTCAGATATATGGGTAACTTGCGATGTAGAAACAAGTTGGTAAGGTGCCTGTGGGAATTACAATGGGACAGGCAGATCGTTTAGATAGTGAAACAAAACTGAAATATTTTTTACAACGATGGGTTATTAGGTATGGATATGGAGGCAATTAATGAACTATAATTGTACGAATATATATTAAGTATAACTACACAGTAGGCACACAACTCTTACAGTAATTTGTGGGGAACATGATAGGAGTTTTGGATAATTCAAAGTTTGGATAAGTGGTGTTTGAATATGCAGTTTCTGATGTATATTGATGAGTTTTTTCAGTTTTGTATAATTTTTTAGAGGAAACTACCATGAGCCAGAATCAGTCCTTAAGATATTTTACTAGCCTGTTTTGACTTTCAGGTAGTGAATATCTTCAACCTGTTCATTACATACGGAGACACATTTCTGCCAAATCCAACAAGTTACGATGAGCTCTATTATGAGATAGTGAGAATGCACCAGGTGTTTGACAACTTATACTCAATGGGTAAGCAAGAGTATATAATACCTTAAATACACAGATTATATACAGGTAACTGGGGTGACCAAATCATGTAGACAGCAAAAGAAACCCAGACAGAAGAGAAAATCTTGACAGGAAAAGGGAATCAAGACAGCAAACAGAATCCAGACAGCAAAGGGAATCAAGACAGCAAACGGAATCCAGACAGGAAAGGGAATCAAGACAGCAAACGGAATCCAGACAGGAAAGGGAATCAAGACAGCAAACGGAATCCAGACAGCAGAGGAAATTCTGACAGGAAAAGGAAATCAAGACAGCAAACGGAATCCAGACAGCAGAGGAAATTCTGACAGGAAAAGGGAATCAAGACAGCAAACGGAATCCAGACAGGAAGGGAATCAAGACAGGAAAGGGAATCAAGACAGCAAACGGAATCCAGACAGGAAAGGGAATCAAGACATCAAAGGGAATCAAGACAGCAGAGGAAATTCTGACAGGAAAAGGGAATCAAGACAGCAAACGGAATCCAGACAGGAAAGGGAATCAAGACATCAAACAGAATCCAGACAGGAAAGGGAATCAAGACAGGAAAGGGAATCAAGACAGCAAACGGAATCCAGACAGGAAAGGGAATCAAGACATCAAAGGGAATCAAGACAGGAAAGGGAATCAAGACAGCAGAGGAAATTCTGACAAGAAAAGGGAATCAAGACAGCAAACGGAATCCAGACAGGAAAGGGAATCAAGACATCAAACGGAATCCAGACAGGAAAGGGAATCAAGACAGGAAAGGGAATCAAGACAGCAAACAGAATCCAGACAGGAAAGGGAATCAAGACATCAAACAGAATCCAGACAGGAAAGGGAATCAAGACAGGAAAGGGAATCAAGACAGCAAACGGAATCCAGACAGGAAAGGGAATCAAGACATCAAAGGGAATCAAGACATCAAAGGGAATCAAGACAGCAGAGGAAATTCTGACAGGAAAAGGGAATCAAGACAGCAAACGGAATCCAGACAGGAAAGGGAATCAAGACATCAAACAGAATCCAGACAGGAAAGGGAATCAAGACAGGAAAGGGAATCAAGACAGCAAACGGAATCCAGACAGGAAAGGGAATCAAGACATCAAAGGGAATCAAGACAGGAAAGGGAATCAAGACAGCAGAGGAAATTCTGACAAGAAAAGGGAATCAAGACAGCAAACGGAATCCAGACAGGAAAGGGAATCAAGACATCAAACGGAATCCAGACAGGAAAGGGAATCAAGACAGGAAAGGGAATCAAGACAGCAAACAGAATCCAGACAGGAAAGGGAATCAAGACATCAAAGGGAATCAAGACAGCAGAGGAAATTCTGAGAGGAAAAGGAAATCAAGACAGCAAACGGAATCCAGACAGGAAAGGGAATCAAGACAGGAAAGGGAATCAAGACATCAAAGGGAACCCAGACAGCAGAGGAAATTCTGACAGGAAAAGGGAATCAAGACAGCAAACGGAATCCAGACAGGAAAAGGAATCAAGACAGGAAAGGGAATCAAGACATCAAAGGGAACCCAGACAGCAGAGGAAATTCTGACAGGAAAAGGGAATCAAGACAGCAAACGGAATCCAGACAGGAAAAGGAATCAAGACAGGAAAGGGAATCAAGACATCAAAGGGAACCCAGACAGCAGAGGAAATTCTGACAGGAAAAGGGAATCGACAGCAAACGGAATCCAGACAGGAAAGGGAATCAAGACAGCAAACAGAATCCAGACATCAAAGGGAATCAAGACAGGAAAGGAGAGTCCATAGATGAATGTATAATGCAAATCTGTTTCTCTGCAAAAGACAAAAATTGCCTGATTGAACTGACTTTGAATGATATAGGAGAGGAACAAACAAAGAACAATGATTGATGTGATCAGTGTTATAACCTTCACTCCAGAAGACAAATTCCACTGATATTAATATATAGTGAAGCAAAAGTAATATTTACCTCCATACTGATATTTTGTGTTTTTGTGTCTTGACCTTCTGATATATGAAAATCTACAGAGCATGTATTACACACATTTTTTTCCCTTGTTAATGTTTGCAATTTAGTGGTATCATGATACCTGAGTGAGGGAGAGAATTGATACATTCTTAAGTACAGAAGGATTATTATAAAAAAAATAACATAGCATCATTTTAGTATACAAACAGTTTTGTTTGTCTTTGTAGCATGTGGTACATTTTATCTCTAAAATTGTCCCCTATATTTTTTAGCATTGCGGTACACAACAAGTGAAGGCGGTGACAGTAAGGATCTAGCAGCCCGACTGACAAACCATCTCCTCAATATCAGGTGAGACAGTTATTGGTTAAAATGTTTATCAGTGGGAAGAATATTTCATAATATGTTCATGTTAGTATTTCATTTTTTTTATGTGTTATGTACCTAAGCATAACGTGAATCAAAGTTCCTCAGTTTTACTGATGTATGTTTAGATTTCTTTCTATAAACGACAAAAACCAAGCAAATATGGGGTGTAACTGTTCGGCAACTGTCACCAGAAAAGGTGCCTGTATGACCATGTCAATGATTCTGATGCTGGTGCTTCCTGTTGCTCATCACTGCACTGAAATTAATTTTATGTATGTTTCATTGTTAACTACCGCAGTATTATAGCTCAAAGACAAGTGAAGTAAAACACCAACATCTTTCAATAAAATAGGGTTTGATACATCATTAACGTATTTTTTTTGTCCGTAAAATTGACACAAAACTGGCATGTGCATTATCGAACCACACTGCTACTCTTTTAGTCTATAGATGCATTGGAACCCTTTAATGATAATTAACATTTAGATCATATGCATTTTAGAGGTGTACCCATTAAGAAAATATTTGACCAATTAAATACTATTTTTAGGACAACTTTTCTCATCAATTATTTCAGAGCGATTATCAACCACTTCACACCAAAAGTAGATGCCTGGGCTGCCGACAATCAGCTTGCTTCTCTGACAGAAGAACAGGTAAGAATGAGGATAGTTAGAAATCTTTAATCTTTAAATCTTTACCTGATTCTATAAACAAAACTATTTCAAACCTACATTAAACTTTTGGACTTATCACAGGTTCTGGAGGTGGTGAAGAGTAACTATGACTCCCTGACACTTAAACTACAAGACAGTCTTGACCAGTTCGAACGCTATTCAGAAAAACCAAGGGAAAATGCTTTCTTTACGCAACTGGTGAGCTTTGTAATGTGATTAACATGATACAGACAGTCAATAAACAGCTGGCTATAATGGCAATAGTGGCTTATTTTAAGTCAAATGAAGATTAGGGAAATATAGCAATGGTGATGAAAAAAAAGACATCTTTAAATTTGATTGTTGTCATGAAAATATACATTAAGAAATCATAGTTATTTCACATACATTGATCAATTTAAAATTTAGAAACAAAACAGAATGAATATTGATTGTATAAAACATAGATATAATGTGACAGTTTTTAACTTCATTCATCTATAAACATTCAAATTAATTTTCAGGTGAGGTCAATTGTGCTGGATGTAAGAAAGACCACAGGTCATTATCTGACACTCAAACAGCATGATGTCTTACAGGATGTGGTAGCCATATCAGAATAATAAGCTTGAGTTGCTGTGACCTTGACATCGTCAGAGTGATAGCCTTGTGTTGCCGTGACCTTGACATTGTCAAAGATATAGCCTTGTGTTGCTGTGACCTTGACATTGTCAGATTAATGGCCTTGTGTTGCTGTGACCTTGACATTGTCAGAGTAATGGCCTTGTGTTGCTGTGACCTTGGTATTTCAGTAGTCAGTGCTCTGATACAGGGCTCTCGATTTGCCAGATTTGGGGCCGATATTCGACACCATTCCCAATGCAAAATGGTATCTTTTTTCCCAATTTCGACCCCAAGTTTTCCCAATTCTAAGGAAAACACCATTATTTTTCCCAATTCTAAGGGCCTGGGCCCCAGTCCCAAAATGGGGTGTGAGAGCCCTGTGATATTACATTAAGATAGTGAGTAGTAAAGGTAATCCCTCATGGTATTTAAGTATTTAATAACACATTCAGGTGGGCACATAATTAAAATTATTACTTTCAAACAGGGAATAATTTGATATTTGAAAAAAAAATGTCAGTGTAAATGGAGTCTAGAAGTTTTCTATGAATCAAGGATCATGAAATACTCCAGATGATCATAATGCTTAAAATAAAATGTGACAGGCCAAGTGATGTATGGTTTGGAAGGAATCATGCAAATTTAGGTTTTTTTTAAGATTTCATTTTGTGGATCTTTTTTTCTATTTTTCCATCACTGCCTTAAGTCCACAATTCATGAATGTTGCAGATAAATACACTTAAAATTATCAATTATTGAAGTTCTTAGAAGCTGACAACTTTGTTTCAAAAATAATATAAAATACTGGAATATTGTGATATGTATGTTTGAGGGTTTTGTGTAGAAATGGGTATGAATGTCAGATTGTCTTGAGTGCAATATCTGTTTTGTAAATAAATTAATGATGTTAGATGCCAAAATAGTGTAAAGATAGAGTATTTAATATATATACACAGTAAAACTTGTAGATCATTGTGTATCAATAAATTAAATAGTAAAGTAAGCAAATTTTGTTTTCAAACCTTATGTATACATACATAAATGTGGTGAACAAAGGGACTTCATTTTTTATGTATAGCTGTGTGTCCAAGAGTTTATTTATTTTGTACTTCAAAGACAGACATCTTGTTTTGTTGGTTCTAATTAGTGGAGTTTTAAGTTAAGTGTCATACTGGTTGTTGAATGTTCAAAATTTTGTATAAAGCTGAAAGGTTGCAAGCACATGTTTATCAATCTCATATATGTTGATATGCAAGTATATATGGAAACTACCTGATAGGATTTCAGTGCAAAAGCAGTTGACACATTTTCAAAAGGCAGAAAAGACTATTGTTCTTTAACAGCCCTGTAGAACAACCTCAGGCTGTTACAGCTGTTTTTTATTATTTTAAACTTTTATCAGGCCGCCATTGTTTTTCTTTACATGTAAAGTCTGCTGATTTACAATATCACCAAAAGCTGTATCATAAAGCCATTATAAATTCTATCAATATTATATAACCCTCGTTACATAATGAAAGTCATAAACAAATGCTTAAAAACATTGGCTACAATGGGTTTCCATAGCTACAGTTGCTGCATCACCACTTTTCGGTACGACCATCGTCAGATCAAATTTAGATTTAAATGTCAAAAAAAAATAAAAAAACCCAAACAAACAAAGGATTGGAATCAGAATGTCAATATTTTAAAACAGAATCATAATATTAATATTCTGCAAGTTATAATATTTGCTGTTGTGTAATAAAGGTAATCTTGGTCTCTTTTTAGTCTGGAAAGAGGGTCACATTATCACAGTATTATCCGCCCATAGGGTCCATTCAGTATATTTAGTTGGTTGCTGAACTAGTCCACTAGTAGTCCCTGTTGTTTCTATAGTATGTCGTTTGTTGGGTGTATATATTTATATTCTGGCATTATAGGTGTATATACATTGTGTTTAAATTAAATGGATGTGTATGTTGTGTATTAGATACTGATTTCAGTAGTCACATGTTGATAGTTTTCTAAGGCACATATTTTTGATAGTTTTAGGATTAGACAATACTGTCAAGGATTAGACAATAGTGTCTGTGGTTTAGTTTTAGGATTAGACAATAGTGTCTGTGGTTTAGTTAAGGATTAGACAATAGTGTCTGTGGTTAAGTTAAGGATTAGACAATACTGTCTGTGGTTAAGTTAAGGATTAGACAATAATGTCTGTGGTTTAGTTAAGGATTAGACAATAGTGTCTGTGGTTTAGTTAAGGATTAGACAATAATGTCTGTGGTTTAGTTAAGGATTAGACAATACTGTCTGTGGTTAAGTTAAGGATTAGACAATACTGTCTGTGGTTTAGTTTTAGGATTAGACAATACTGTCTGGTTAAGTTAAGGATTAGACAATACTGTCTGTGGTTAAGTTAAGGATTAGACAATACTGTCTGTGGTTAAGTTAAGGATTAGACAATACTGTCTGGTTAAGTTAAGGATTAGACAATAGTGTCTGTGGTTTAGTTAAGGATTAGACAATACTGTCTGTGGTTTAGTTAAGGATTAGACAATACTGTCTGTGGTTTAGTTTCATGATGAGACAATACTGTCTGGTTAAGTTAAGGATTAGACAATACTGTCTACTGTCTGTGGTTAAGTTAAGGATTAGACAATACTGTCTGGTTAAGTTAAGGATTAGACAATAGTGTCTGTGGTTTAGTTAAGGATTAGACAATACTGTCTGTGGTTAAGTTAAGGATTAGACAATAGTGTCTGTGGTTTAGTTAAGGATTAGACAATACTGTCTGTGGTTAAGTTAAGGATTAGACAATAGTGTCTGTGGTTTAGTTTTAGGATTAGACAATACTGTCTGGTTAACTTAAGGATTAGACAATAGTGTCTGTGGTTTAGTTAAGGATTAGACAATACTGTCTGTGGTTAAGTTAAGGATTAGACAATACTGTCTGTGGTTTAGTTTCATGATGAGACAATACTGTCTGGTTAAGTTAAGGATTAGACAATACTGTCTGTGGTTTAGTTTTAGGATTAGACAATACTGTCTGGTTAAGTTAAGGATTAGACAATACTGTCTGTGGTTTAGTTTCAGGATTAGACAATACTGTCTGTGGTTTAGTTTTAGGATTAGACAATACTGTCTGGTTAAGTTAAGGATTAGACAATACTGTCTGTGGTTTAGTTTCAGGATTAGACAATACTGCCGGTGGTTTAGTTTCAGGATTAGACAATACTGCCGGTGGTTTAGTTGTAGGATTAGACAATACTGCCGGTGGTTTAGTTTCAGGATTATACAATACTGTCTGTGGTTTAGTTTAGGATTATACAATACTGTCTGGTTAAGTTTAGGATTAGACAATACTGTGGGTGTTTTTGTTTTAGAATTAGACAATACTTTGAATTATATATAACATTTGTTACTTGTATGGTTCAGTTTTTATATTTTCTTCAGGAATGAATGAGATACTGAAATATATTGGTATGGAAAGTGAGTGGGAAATGCACAGATAATAGAATTTCAGTTCTTGTTTATTGGACAACAGGGAAATTTTCAAGTTGCAATGTAAACATTTCATGTCATTTATCATCTACATCGAAGATTCACATCAGATCACATTTAGGAGATAAGGAAATTTCACGGTCTTATTCCTTTGTATAGAATATGAAATCACTGAAAATATCAATTTTTGTCGTGTTTGTACATTAATGTAATATTGTTCTGAATTTAATTTGGTTTTGCTGTTAATTTTCTGCATATGATTTTCTATGACCACACTGTAAGTATGCCAATTAATTACTTTTTACTCTGATAATATGTCAAAATCTGATTAAAGCTAAAGTTCGAGTGGCCAAATTAAGTGTATTTTATGTAACAGTCCCATGCTCTGTCACATCACTCCATACAGTCATATATTATCAACATTTAAAATGGTGATATTTATTTATTCAATCTTTTTGTTCCCACGGTCAGCAGATCAGTGGATGAAATAAAAACAGGATATTCTGTAGAACACGCTTTACCTCTGTTTTTGCTGCCCTATCCCTCCTTCATAAAACTGTACCCTGGATGTAACCCTGATATGTGCACAGAGACAGTATCATAGTAATTAATAGATAGGATGATGGTGATTATGTTACAGTCTCTTGTGTCCAAATTACACAGACCCTGATTTTGTCCCGTCTTACATTTACTTTGTTTTCTGAACTTCATGTATATGAAAAGAAATCAGATTTGCCTTTAATTTTAATAAAACTGGATATTTATTGTTAGTTAGTCTGTTTTGTCATGTATCTGTCAGGTTTACTGAATTCTACTGTTCAACATTATTATTCTGTAATATTGGCAGTACCATGATATGTCAGTAGTTTTCCACATTTAAGCTTTTTTTATTCTAAACAACAACTTTGCTTTCCTTGATGTATTTTCAAATCCTGTTATATTCAATGTGGTTAGAATTTAGTGAAATTTCAGTATTGTAATTCTACTATCATACTTGGGTATACATTGTATAAAGAAATATTTTGTATGTGAAATGTATTTTCATCCTTACATTTTCCAGGAAATACATGCGCTGGCTGTAATATTTATTTATATGTTTATTGGTGTAATTAATGTATACAGAAGTAAACTGCAGTAATAGATATGTATAATACAGTCTCGGTACCACTATTCCAGTGTATAGTGCTTCCTTGTTATCTCCCCTTGGCCCAAATCACAGTTAATGTGTACAGAAACATGGTTTCTCAAGTTGTATACAGAAAAATCTCGTGAAATTCTCCATTAGACTTCAAAATAAAACTTGAAATAATTGAAAATTGTTTTGTTTATCTATGAAATGGATTATCCATCATTTATCTTAAGTATTGAAAATCCTGAAATATTTCACACCTTGGAGTATGTGACCCTCCCAGTGGGTACTGACCTCTGACCATTGATGAATGCTCCTTTAAATTTATGCCTTATCTCTGTTACACATTAAATTCTTCAAAAGCACAAAAGACTAGAGATTATCTGAAAATTGGAACCAGATTGTATAACAGACATGTATTCATGTGTATACAACACCTTTAAAGAGAAATTGTCAGCGATGTGTATGGAATAAAACAGTGCATCTTGCACTTGTGTTGTCCTTCTACAACTCTTCAGTGATGCTCCCACGTAACTGTGCTACCAAAAATATAGTATGTAGAAAGTTTTTCTAAAATTTGTTTAAAAGAGGCAAAAATATAGAAGGCGGGTTCTGCCATTTTGATGAATGCTTGACACAAAGTCTTTTCTAGCAAAATGAGCACATTTAGGATGACTGACCTACTTATTGTGCATGGGGACAATGATTACGATACAATGTTTCTAATTGTGTATGTACAAAGATGTCTGGTCATTTGACTGGGGTGGACATTTTCTCTGTTTTAATATTTCTATACTTAATGAAATGTATTTATAACAGAAGTTACAGACATAGCAATGTAACTACAATGTTTGTTTAGGATACACTTGTTTCTTTCGTTGAAAGTAAATTGTTTTACCTACATTCATGGTAGTAATCGGGGATATGCATCAGTATTTTATTTCCATAAAGTTTTTCCCAGCATGGTTCTTTTGTATCAATACTATATTTTCAGGGTCATAAAAGATCAGTCTTTGTGATAACCTTTTGAAGGATAGTTGGTCATTATGACACAAAAAGTCAACTGACCAATGGTCAATGTTAAGTTTACCCTGTAGCTGGACAATATATACTTACCAGTCACAATAAAACTAGTGGTTACCATACCAAATATCAAGGTTGTTGGGTAAAAGGTAATATTTTTAATCTCTCAACTGATAAAAAGTTATTGTTAGCTAGAATTCAGCAGACCAAATGTCAAGGCCATTGGATCAACTGTAAAGGTCAAAGTTGGTTTTATTGTACTTAACATTAATGTTAACATTATGTAATGACATCATAAAGCACAATTGATCAAACCAAGCAGGTTATGTGATCAAAATCAGCCAGTCATGTAAGAGAAATTAAATGACCAAGGTTTGTCTGTCAAAAGGTCAAGGTGGCCAGTGAAGGTAGCTGTCATTATGTTATATGGGCATGAAAATGACAAAAAGCCTCAGACAAAATATAAAATATAATTTATTGTTAGAGATATTTAACAACTTGTTACCAGCACCAAACATAGCTCCTGACAGCAATCACAGATAAAATAGCAAGTTCATAATAGCAAATTTCTTCAGGATCTTGATATGGTAGAGTGATACTGTCTGTATCCATTATACCAAAAATAAATACAAAATTATACATATTGCAGTGCTTTATCATAACTTCATAACTGTTTCAAAATGATGATAGTTCAAGACTAGGACAGTCACCTTTATCCTCTGGTAACTTATTGAGATACACATCATAACTCCGCTGAGACATGTCTCGGGAGACAATGTTTTAAATCATGTAACTCAGACAATGTTGATAGTGCAATAGTGCTTGAAATCACATTACTGCCTGTGATTTCTATTATGTATACATTGTATGTGAACATAAATGATTAATAAAACAAATTTCTTGATTAACATATATCATCTACAATTATTTCATTTATTTCAGAAGACAAGAAATCCTCTAGGGATCGTGCTGACATAGTAATTTGATTGGTTCTATATAACCTAGACCATTTCTTTGCTCTTGATTATCTGTTTAAAGATGAATAAAAATTCCTAAGTCAAAGTTAAAGATGGTTCCTTATTGACCATTTTGTTTTTTATCTATCGGTCTGAAAACTGTAAATGCACAACAAAAGACCAAGGTAAACCAACATATGGCATATCACAAGTAGAAAGATATTTCAGTGCTTCTTACGAAATAGCAGTTACAAAAACAGTTTTAGGTGGACAATTGAGAGCTGACAGACCAGGGTTGAAGGATGATATCAGCTCTCCCGCCATGATATGGGCTAAAAACACCTCTTTATTATAGATTTGTATTCAAGAATTTTTGTTGGAAAGTTCACTTTTAAATGAAACCTAATAAAGAATTTAAATACCCTTAGCTCCATCAAGTATATTTGAAGAAAATGAACACTTTTGTGGGCTGTATGATGGTATAAGATACAGAATTAAAGCTATTTTAAGTAACATTGTACTTATATACTAATTTACAGTAAAATGCCGTTATCTTTTAATAACCATATACTTCAGTAACTTATTCATCAATCAATGAAAAATAAATCAAAGTACTAACAGTTACTTGGGGGGGGGGGGGGGTGGCCATGATAGCTCATCTGATAAGAGCATTTGCCTATGTAACCTTGGGTGATGATCCAAGGTGATGGTTTGTATTTCTCAGGAAGCAGAGAAATGTACTGGTTTGTGCTGACGTGGTCGTGTCCTTGGGCAAGACACTTTACTCTTAAAGGCTTTGGAATGCATGTAGTGGTCCTCCTGTATGTTGTTCTCTGAGGTAGCACCAGCTACTAAACAGACCCCTCCTCAAAATTACAATTGTTAAAGGAACCATTGCCTACATCTCCAAAACTACCACTTCAGTCATGAAGGATGCTCATGGAAACTGATGACACTTCACTCTGTACTCATGTACACTTACATAAAGCTTCACTTTATTCCACTTTGCAGTTTTTGAGGCAGTAGCAGAATTCTCTGCAGTGAAAGTAACCAGAAGAAGAAACGGAGCAAAAACAATAATAAACAAATTTATCATGCAGTATAGAAATATCACATTTTGTTACAGTAGAAGAGCACTGTTCAGTCATGATAATGCTTCATATAACAACAAATGTCACACGATATACCACAGCAATATTCTGTATATCAGAGATCTGTAAAAAGGTGGAATACATGTATATTATACTATGTCATTTAAATATGATTCCAGATCATACTGTACCTTGATATCTGACATCAAGTTTACAAATATGTTTCATATATTTATATACAATTTTCATTCTCTCTTACTTTAAAGAGTATTCTGCTGTGCTTAAGTATGAACTTAATCACATACATTAAATTTAAACTTGTACACACAACTTTCTAAGCTTCCCAAGACCTTTCAATGTAAGAAACTTCACAATCATATGATAATGCAAGGTTGAGCTAGGTTTAAATTCGTCATATATAAAAAAGATATACAATATAAGTGGTTTTAATATTTCTAAACAGAATCAATGACCATACCATTAAACACTATTTATCTCTCATAGTCTATCGAAATAGAAATCCAATGGCCATAATCACTAACATATTTCTGTAACAAAAACAAAACTAGGCCATTTCTCTAACAATTAGCAGAGCTTCAAGAACAAAAAGCAGAATACACAGCAATATTGGCAATGTAACAACAAACACCAAAGTATAATTCTTGTCTATTTTCAGGAGAATATTACCGACTATCAACTTATGTACTTGACAAGTGATGTAATTTTTTGCCATTACTTATCACAACTATAAAATATAGGTGTAATAAAAATATTGTGACATAAGGGACATTAAATAACTGCCTAGGCTATAAAAAGGTTGTGACTGGGTCAATTATAAAATGTTTTTGTATCTTCAGATGGATATGAATTAGGGGATAAACAGAGTCTTACACTCCTACGTTTTTCAATCTCTCTTAATAGAAATATCACTCTTTTATACATGTTCTACATCTGTTAGCTTCTATCCTTTTCAAAGCTCTCATGACAGAAACATCCACTTTTAAACATAAGTACATAAATTTGTTTTTTAGCTCAGTAAGTCATTTACTTTCTTTACATTATTGGTTCATTTGAACATTCCAATCATAGTAAAAAAATAAACATTCATATACATTTCTTCACACTTTTTTTCTGATAAAGTACACTTTCTAGGAAATATCATTTAACCTCTTGTCAGGATTTAAAATTGTTGGTTATAACACTATATACCGGTATGTATTTTATATTTCAGATGGTAAAGTTTGGCTTCAATGAGCTCAAAACTGGTTTCATGTGGGAAAGGCATTTTTCCATTGATTTGATATGCTTTACAAATACTTGTTTTGAAGCAATAGAAATTTTGAACAAATTAACGCAATTATGAATTTGTGCCTTTGCAATAATTTCTTAGTATATAAACCATGTACAAAAGACTGCCATATTTAAGCAGTGTCTTGATTCAGTGCTATAAGTACTGAAATAGGATTACTATTAAAACATGTATTTTACAGTAAATGCACATAGTAGATATATATCGTATGGAAACGTGTGAGGTATTTGTTACTGTTGAGACATTAGACCTAGAGGCTGATAATATATCATTTTATACCATTAGACTGATATGCATAGTTATCTATAACATCACTTTACACATCTAAGATTATATCAGTAATATCAATGAGTATTTTTCTTTATTTTAGAGAAATATCTGATAACAATGATTACTTAATAATGGTCCCATGTACAAAGATAGTTTAGAAATTCTGAAGACTACACTTTGTGAAACCGTAAATCTTTAAGTTTCTTTAAGTATAAATAAGATTTAAATAGTATTGATTAAATTAACCAAGATGATTTAAATATATATATATCGTATTAACAATTCTTTTTACCATAATGAAATGTTTCACAGAGATTTCCTCTCCTGTCAACAAAGAAAAAAATGCTATGAACATATTTAAGGGTAATATTCAGTTGTAACAAAGTTTGCTTTACATTCCATGCCAGATTACCTCACAAGCAAACTCATCAAAACCAATTGTACCTATGTTTTAGCTCTATCATTACTCAAGTCCTTGTGAGGTAACTGATTACCTGATTTTACTGTACATAATACATCTCCCAGTTCTCTCAATTGAACACGGAGTCTATACACAATAGTTCCTGAAATCTTGCTGGATAAATACTTACTACAGGAAAACTCCATTTTAACCCAGGTTCTGGTTTGATATTAGAAATTAGGTGGTAATATGGCATATTCACTTTCTCCTGAAATGTCTGAAGTTCTAATGGAATCCTTATCTGATATTTAGAAACCTACCCCCATGTGGGTTTTGTTGGCATACCCCCATTTCTTCCCAGATTAACAATATTGTTACTTTGTTCCATAAAGAAACCTGCCTACAAAACTGGAGAAATATCCCTCAAATTTCTGACAAGCAGCTTTAATCTTTGGTTGTCTAAATTCATGATGGTTGCCTATGATTCAACACATCATGGGACCCATGGAAAGGTTGATAGGATATTTGAGAAAAATCCCCTCAAAGCTTCTCACGAAAAAGTGGTAACAAACTTTAATTGCTAAAGCCCAAGATGGCCACTAATCACACATTTTTATTTTTTTTTTAATTTAGTCTCAATACCATTAATACACACAACTAGAAACCAAAGATAATCTACTTCTGTAACTTGAAGGAGATCCACCCTAACCTCCTGAAGAAATAGCAATAACTAATTGTTTAAAGACAGATAGATGACAGAAGGAAGATAGGATGAGATTTAAACAGCCCTTCAACTATTGATAATGCGATCAGAAGGCATTTTATCTTTATTTTTTTAGATTGTAAAAATTCCATGAATTTCAGATGTCATGCTTTTTTTTGATAGAAAATTCTCAATTTTTTCCTTACCATGTGTTTCAACTAAATTGAAAAAGTCTTCATTATAATCTTCAATGTTTATGGACATTCTGTTAAAAATAATTCTACCTGAAAGTGTTAAAGTGAGTAAGTTCAGTACTAGCTTTGATTAATTCTGCTAAGATGTTATGCCTGGTGTGACTTCAGCCTCCGCAGCAGAAGATAGGGTATCATCAGCAGTATTCCTCCTGTCAGGTAACATACTCTGTCACCACAGCTCCAGTAAACTGGGGAGGGAGAAAATGAATTAGACAGCATTCATTTGATATTACAAGGGAGGAAAAGACAAAAATTCAACAGCATTAGTACTACTGGGAAGGGGGAAAATGGATTAGACAGCATTCATTTGATATTACAGGGGAGGAAAAGACAAAAATTCAACAGCTTTGGTATTTCTGAGAAGGGGGGAAAATGGATTAGACAGCATTCATTTGATATTACAGGGGAGGAGAAGACAAAAATTCAACAGCTTTGGTATTTCTGGGAAGGGGGAAAATGGATTAGACAGCATTCATTTGATATTACAGGGGAGGAGAAGACGAAAATTCAACAGCTTTGGTATTTTTGGGGAAGGGGGAAAATGGATTTACAGCATTCATTTGATATTACAGGGGAGGAGAAGACGAAAATTCAACAGCTTTGGTATTTCTGGGAAGGGGGAAAATGGATTAGACAGCATTCATTTGATATTACAGGGGAGGAGAAGACAAAAATTCAGCAGCTTTGGTATTTTTGGGAAGGTGGGAAATTGATTAGACAGCATTCATTTGATATTACAGGGGAGGAGAAGACAAAAATTCAGCAGCTTTGGTATTTCTGGGAAGGGGGAAAATGGATTAGACAGCATTCATTTGATATTACAAAGATTCAACAGCTTTGGTATTTTTGGGGAAGGGGGAAAATGGATTTACAGCATTCATTTGATATTACAGGGGAGGAGAAGACGAAAATTCAACAGCTTTGGTATTTCTGGGAAGGGGGAAAATGGATTAGACAGCATTCATTTGATATTACAGGGGAGGAGAAGACGAAAATTCAACAGCTTTAGTATTTCTGGGAAGGGGGAAAATGGATTTACAGCATTCATTTGATATAACAAAGGAGTAAAATACAAGAATATGCAACTGGGCAGGGTTAAATAAGTACCAAACTCTGTTTAGATCATATTGGAGGTAATGTCTACCTCAGTGAATTTTGTAAGGATTGATATGATAGTGGAATATGACTGAGAGGAGAGGTATTGTAACATAGATTGATAACATACATAATTCTGAGTACTTACTGACAGAAGAGATGACAGGTCCAAGCGCCCTAGCAAGAGCTCCTAGGGATCTAAACACTCCAAGGATAACTCCTTTCTGATCACTCCCTCCGTACTCAGAGATCAGGGTAGTTAAACAGGGCACCACTGTGGCTGATGCTGAAATACAAATAACATTGTTAATAATTAATTATAACAGGTATTACCAGGTGTTAACCTAGCAGAGGCTGTGAAACGGATTTAACATATTTTGCTATGATTAGACCACAAAAAGATTTTACCATGCTGAAAATTTACTCTCAATTCCTGTTCTTGGCTTTGTATTCATGAAAGTGATATGGTTTTATCAATGTGTGTAAATTAATAATAAAATCTTTTAAATATTGATTGGAATAAATAATGAAACATGTACTTCAACAGAAAACTCACCAAAGGCAAACAGCATAAGGGCCACATACATCATTGTAGCAGAGTAGGCAAACGCCATTATCACAAAGGCTGGCATCAGCAGTGACATACCCTACAACACACAAATACCTTGCCATTTAGATTTTGATATTTATTTTACAGATCTACCTCCTAAATGTCCACATGTTAGGTTCTTAGCATCACTGAAATCTTTGACCAACTTTTTATCAATTTATGACAAATTGTATAACTGTATCAGTAAATGACAAAATAAAGATGGAATAATGCCCAAGGGTTACTCATCATGATGGGAGAATAAACATTCATGAATCAAATAAGAAATTTGTGTAGAATCAGTATTATAAGATGACTGTTGATACTCACAATGGTGGCAATTTTCAGCTGTTTTCCTGACTTAATTCTCCGGACATAACCACCTATAAACAGTCCACAGATTACTACATCAACTACAGAAAAATAAGTCATTGACAATACAGAGAAATCTTCAGTAACTATTACCTACTTGTGAAATAGTAATACTTCCATACATGGATGTAAATTAAGAAGTTGTACATAGGTTGTACATTTGATTTAGTAATGCATATTAAGTATTTTTCTCTTACTAACCCCCCAACCCCTCCCAAAACATAACAATCTCATTGTGCTAACTTCTTCTTCAACTCCATTTGACTTAACACCTCAGTCCTTGTACTACAACTCCACTTACCTTGTACTAAAACTCTAATTACCTTGTACTAAACCTCCACTAACCTTGTACTGAACCTCCACTTACTTTGTACTACAACTCCACTTACCTTGTACTAAAACTCTAATTACCTTGTACTAAACCTCCACTAACCTTGTACTAAACCTCCACTAACCTTACCCTAAAACTCTAATTACCTTGTACTAAAACTCCACTTACCTTGTACTTCAACTCTACTAAACTTGTACTAAAGCTCCACTAACCTTGTACTAAACCTCCACTTACCTTGCACTAGAGCCATAATTACCTTGTACTAAAACTCCACTTACTTTGTACTACAACTGTACTAAACTTGTACTAAACCTCCACTTACCTTGCACTAGAGCCATAATAGTTCCAATAAAGAAAAACATCTTCCCTTGCTGCATACTGAAATCATAAAATATTATTATTGTTAAAATCATTTCCACTCAAAATATCAGTAAACCAAGTATTATACTCTTAAAAAATTGAAAAAAGAAATAAGATTAAAAATATGACTAGTTTCTTACATAAATAATCATGTATTTGCCAACTATTAAGGAAAATAAGCCTGATCTTATTTTCAAGTTTTTAGGGATTTGAGAGTCAGACAGATGGCTAAAAAAGTATCAATACCAAAGTTTTACAGAACAATATATGGAGAGACCAAATAATTAAACCTACAAAAAACTTAGCAGATTGTCTGTGAGAAATGCTTGATAGAGTTGGGGGCTTTACCTATTATACTGTAGACGATTGTGGGTAAGGAATGTTAGTGTAAACTCTAAACCTGAGTACAGAAACAGGTAAATAAAATACACCACTCCTATCTTCTGTACTGTCTGAGAATCTGGAAACAGACAAAACAAATCACAATAAATGGAAACTATGGAAACCTGATTGGATGGTTAGGATGAATATTTCTTTAAGTAAAATTTGAAATGAAAGGTGATGTATCTATTTAAACTGTAAGAGCCATAACATACCTGACTTGGATAATTTTGTGACAGGTGAGAATTTAAACAATGACACTGGGTTGATGAGGTGAGATGTGTTTTGCCATCCACTAGCTATGGACTTCGCCTGAATACAATATAAACAAAAAGTAAATCAATCTGTTCCTACAATAAAACAGCGTTATTATACAATGTAACCAATAAAACAGCGTTATTATACAATGTAACCAATAAAACAGCGTTATTATACAATGTAACCAATAAAACAGCGTTATTATACAATGTAACCAATAAAACAGCGTTATTATACAATGTAACCAATAAAACAGCGTTATTATACAATGTAACCAATAAAACAGCGTTATTATACAATGTAACCAATAAAACAGCATTATTATACAATGTAACCAATAAAACAGCGTTATTATACAATGTAACCAATAAAACAGCGTTATTATACAATGTAACCAATAAAACAGCGTTATTATACAATGTAACCAATAAAACAGCGTTATTATACAATGTAACCAATAAAACAGCGTTATTATACAATGTAACCAATAAAACAGCGTTATTATACAATGTAACCAATAAAACAGCGTTATTATACAATGTAACCAATAAAACAGCGTTATTATACAATGTAACCAATAAAACAGCGTTATTATACAATGTAACCAATAAAACAGCGTTATTATACAATGTAACCAATAAAACAGCGTTATTATACAATGTAACCAATAAAACAGCGTTATTATACAATGTAACCAATAAAACAGCGTTATTATACAATGTAACCAATAAAACAGCGTTATTATACAATGTAACCAATAAAACAGCGTTATTATACAAAGTAACCAATAAAACAGCGTTATTATACAATGTAACCAACAAAACAGCATTATTATACAATGTAACCAACAAAACAGCATTATTATACAATGTAACCAACAAAACAGCGTTATTATACAATGTAACCAACAAAACAGCGTTATTATACAAAGTAACCAACAAAACAGCGTTATTATACAATGTAACCAACAAAACAGCGTTATTATACAATGTAACCAACAAAACAGCGTTATTATACAATGTAACCAATAAAACAGCGTTATTATACAATGTAACCAATAAAACAGCGTTATTATACAATGTAACCAATAAAACAGCGTTATTATACAATGTAACCAATAAAACAGCGTTATTATACAAAGTAACCAATAAAACAGCGTTATTATACAATGTAACCAATAAAACAGCGTTATTATACAAAATAACCAATAAGGTGACTCTCCTTATCAAGTTTAGCTTTCAGAAAGGCGTTTTCTGACTGACTTTATCATTAGTCTGAATTATGTTTCAGGCACTGTGATAAAGGTTGACAATCAAATAAAAAAATTCACAATAAATTCAAAAAATCAAAATCCTTACCCTCTTACTGATAGGCAATGATTCTTTGAAAAAGATAAATACAAATGTGACATCTATGACAGCTAGGACGAGAGCGAAGATAGCAGGAGGGGTGTAAAATGCCCCATCATGTTGACGTGCCAACATCGAGAATCCAGCACCAATCAGAGGACCAAACACAAAACCAATAGAAAATGCTACACCAATCAGAGCCTACAAGACAAAGGACATTCTGTCAGGAGATGTTGTGAGGTGTAACCTGATATTAAAACAATCACTTATGCATATATTTGACCACCACTAGTTCTTCTGAAATTCAAACTTACCATTAGAATTATCAATGAAGAATGAGAAGATTACTGCTATCTTCTAGGTTGAAGATTAGAAAAATGGAGGAATCCAAATATACAATTTAATGTGAGTCAGAATAGTAGAAAAGTACATGAACCAAACATTTTACAATGTTACTTTAAGAAATTCAAATATATGTAAAAGGTAAAACAATCTAGACTTACTATTCCCTTGCCACACTTTCCCTTACCTACCATTCCCTTGCCATGCCTCTCCAGACTTACTACTCTCTTGCCACACCTTCCCTGACCTACCAATCCCTTGCCATACCTTTCCTAACCTACCATTCCCTTGCCACACTTTACCTTACTTGCCATCTCTTGCTATGCCTCTCCTGACTTACTACTTTCTTGCCACACCTTGCCTGACCTACCACTCCCTTGCCACAGCTTTACTTACTTGCCACTTCCTCAGCATGCCTCTCCTGACTTACTACTCTCTTGCCACACCTTCCCTGATCTACCATTCCCTTGCTATACTTTCCCTGACCTACCACTCCATTGCCACATCTTCCCTGATTTACTACTCTCTTGCCACACCTTCCCTGACCTACCACTGTCTTGCTATACCTTCCCTGAGCTACCATTTCCTTGCTATACCTTCTGTTACCTACCATTCCCTTGTTTATACCTTCCTTGACCTACCATTCCCTTGCCACACCGTTTCTGACCTACCATTCCCATGCTATACATTCCCTGACCTACCATTCCCTTGCTATACTTTTCCTGACCTACCATTCCCATGCTATACTTTTCCTGACCTACCATTCCCTTGCCATATCTTCCCTGACCTACCATTCCCTTGCCACGCCTCTCCTGAGGGAGTATATCAGCTACCACTGCTGTAGAGAGACTGATATTCCCCTTACTGAGACCACCGATGATCCGAGCGATGACAAATAAACCAAAGTTGTGGGATATCGCCCAGACAGCATATGATACCGCAACGCCAATCTGTAAAGTCACAGAAATACACTGTTATAATACTATCTCTACATAATTACATCATGTAACAAACAGGCCTTAAGGGTCATCTGACCATAAAGCCCTATATATGGAAGAGGTTAAATAGGCCTAAAATAAATTGGTCATCTATGCTACAGCTTACATAAAAGACATTGCTGTTTCATCAAGACATTTTCTGCAAACTAGAAATCATATTCCTTATAAATGCACAACACAAATGCCATTACTCCCGACATATTGCTTGTTTAAAAAGCATGCTACATGCCCCTTGGTCTTTTGGTTATTGAGAAGAAGTTGCTTACGCCTTTCAACACATTTGACCCCTGTGACATTGACAGTAGGGCAAGGTGAACAACTTGGTAACCCTTCACCCCAGCATTCTAAAAGCCCATTATCAGTACCATGGAACTTTTGGTTATTGCAAAGACGTAGTTTAAAGAGTTTGAACATATTTGACCCCTTCGACCTTGAAAGCAGGTCAATGTCATTTATATTTAGAAACCTGGTAGCCCTACATTTTAGCATGCTTATACATGCCTAATATCAGCAACTTTGGCCTTTGTTTTTGAGAAGAAGTCATTTAAATGCTTTAACACATTTGATCCCTGTGACCTTGAAAGTAGGTAAAGGTAATTAATTTAAACAAGCTTGATAGCCCTTTATTCCAGCATACTACAGGCCTAATATAAGCACCCTGGGCCTTTTGGTTAATGAGAAGATGTTGTTTAAAGACACCTGTGACCTTCAAAGTGGGTCAAGGTCATTCATATAAACAAACTTGGTAACCCTTTACCACATCATGCTACAGGCCCAATATCAGAACCCTGGGTCTTTTGGTTATTGAGAAGAAGTCATTTGAATGGAAAGTTTAAGGTAAGGTGGATGACAGATACCACCAGACAAAAACATGATGGCAATAAAGTGATTAGATGGCTATGAAAAGTGATCACCATAGAAACAGTCCGCAACTGGGATTCACTTGTGACTGAAAGAACTGGTATCTGTTAATAAGAACCTTTCATCTGATTTCTGATCCTTTATAAACTATTTCATTGAGTAAAACTACAGTGATGATATCTACATACCCAGTAACATTAATGGTACTAAACTTATCTAGAAATTCAGAGCATATATATATCTATTGGCAAAATAGAGTTGTTTATATCAAAAGAACAAAGATAAGAGGTCAGAGGATACTTTTACAGCTAATACAGGTGTGTTAACAAAAATATACACATGGATATTATACATAAGTGATTTGGAGAGAAGAGGAGAATATTAAGTAAAAAGTCTGATGTTATTCTGAGGAAACTTAATACCATGGAAGTAATTGATAAAGTGAAATAAATGAGAAATGTATAAAAAGTATCACTGTTCAAAAATTACCATTGAGATAATGAGAAGAGGACGGCGTCCATATACATCTGATGCTGCCCCCACTACTGGGGAGGCAAGAAACTGCAGGAACGAAAACAAGGATCCAATTAAACCTGAAAACAAGTATCACATGATTAAGATGAGAAAATCAAAGCATGAAGAGCAAGGAAACATTAAACAAGAGATCCCAGAGGGATCGTGGCGCCCACCATTTGAGGATCTGTTTTCAGTTCTTGAAGATTTGTTTATTTTTTTTTGTTTGTTACAGGTGTTGTAAATGTTCATGAACTGGTCTTCATTGAATGTACTCAATGATGGCACAAGATATTTTTATTAAGCACCTATTAGCAAATATCATTTGAAAAAGATCCCAAAGTATTATTAGATAGCAGTCAGTTACAGGTGGATAATGGACAATATGCTTGTGCTGTATTACTGTCGACATCCAAGATGGCTGCCTGTGGGCCACCTTGATTTCAAATCAGTCCAAAAAAGGTACAATGCACAACTAGGGACCAAGGGAAACCAATATCTATGAAATATCAGAAGGATCCATCCAGTACTTCCTCAGATATAGCAGTAACAAGATTTTACTCTCAAAATCCAAGATGGCTGCCTGTCAGCCATCTTGATTTCGGATCAGTCCAAAAAGGTATAATGCACAACTTGGAACCAAAGGGAACCTGCATATGAAATTTGAGAAAGATCCATCCAGTACTTTCCAAGAAATAGCGGTAACAAACTTTTACATCCAAAATCCAAGATGGCCACCTCCAAAAAAGGTACAATGCACGGACCAAGGGGAAACTGCATATGGAATTTGAGAAAGATCCATCCAGTACTTTCCAAGAAAAGCAGTAACAAACTTTTACAATGCACAACTCCAAAAAAGGTACAATGCATAACTAGGGACCAAGGGGAAACTGCATATGGAATTTGAGAAAGATCCATCCAGTACTTTCCAAGAAATAGCAGTAACAAAGTTTTACATCCAAAATCCAAGATGGCCACCTGTTGGCCATCTTGAATGCGAATCAGTCAAAAAAAGGTACAATGCACAACTAGGGACTAAATTTGAGAAAGATCCATCCATAAATAACGGTAACAAACTTTTCCAGAAATAGCGGTAACAAGTTCAAAAAATTGTTTACGGAACCTGCATATGAAACGGATCCTGCACTTTTCCAGAAATACGGTAACAAGAATTGTTTACGGACCACGGACCACGGACGCAGGGCTATTTGAATAACCCACCATCTATTAGATGGTGGGCTAAAAACAGTAAATCATTTACAAGTTTGTTTGTTTCTCACAATTTTGAGTTCACATTTCACAAAGAAATAAACATGTTTACAATTGTAATGTAAAACCTACCTCCAAATAAAACAGAATTCCATCTAGGAGTGTCCGGAGCACCGACTAATTCTCGAAATCCCTTCACAGAGTTCATCAATGACTGGTACAGACCATCCTATTTAAAATCAACACTTTCTGGGTTTTACAGTTTGAACAGTTAGAGACTGATTTATGTAGAGTCAAACATAGAGCTGATATGAGAGCAAATGCATACAATTGTGGTAAATTATTAACCTCTTTCTGACATGAGTAAAGTCAATCATACAGCTCATCCAGGTACAGATATCCTTGTGGTGATGAAGAAATCTCTTTTTGACATGAGTAAAGTCAATCATACAGCTCATCCAGGTACAGTACAGATATCCTTGTGGTGATGAAGAAATCTCTTTTTGACATGAGTAAAGTCAATCATACAGCTCATCCAGGTACAGATATCCTTGTGGTGATGAAGAAATCTCTTCATCCAGGTACAGATATCCTTGTGGTGATGAAGAAATCTCTTTTTGACATGAGTAAAGTCAATCATACAGCTCATCCAGGTACAGATATCCTTGTGGTGATGAAGAAATCTCTTTCTGACATGAGTAAAGTCAATCATACAGCTCATCCAGGTACAGATATCCTTGTGGTGATGAAGAAATCTCTTTCTGATTTTTGTAGAGTCAAATACATATGAGAATAAATATATACCATTGTGTTAAATTACTAACCTCTTTCTGGCTGCCATAGAAGTCCAGTAGGGAGGGTAGGATAGGGAGGATGACCGTGAAGGCAAGCAGGTCTATAACAAGAGACACAAACAAAATGGCCAGGGTACGATTCTCTCCTTCTCCCTTTCCATCTTTTTCTTTGCCTCCCTCAGTTTTCTGGCCCACAGTACCATTTGTTGAAGACATATCCAGGGCTTCAACACAGTAGCAGGTAGAGAAAGTCAGTCGTGTCTATCTGAAACAGAGATTAACTGCATTAACAAACAAAAAAGTGTGGATTTTTCTTTACTTGGAGGGAAAATTGAACATAAAAAATTTATTTCAGATTGAAATACATGTATTTACAATTCACATTAGTTTAACTTTCCACTCGGTTTCTGAACTTTATTTCCTTTAAGTTTAATGCCACATCATAATCAAATCTTTATAATATTAGTCTACAGCCTAGCAATTTTGTCATCTTACACATGTGTAATTAAATGTTTTTCTTCTAAATGTAATATTCAAATGATATTCAAATGATCAAGGATCAATCTACACACACTTAAAAAATATTAAAATCTGACACAAGATATTATACCTAGATACAATGTCTATCAATACCTGTATATCTACAGTTACTGCTACATTGAATAGTTTTTATGTGGACCCACACCTGTTATTTGCTTGAGAAATACTGATAATAATCCTGTCAAGTTCCCTACCTTACCACTCCTCAGTGTTACAGCCATATGTTACCACGACAACTGCTTCCAACCATGTCAACTAATAATGCTTACACATATATGTAAACACGATTTATCCTGACAAGTTCCGGGAACACCACAGAAGTAAACAGTAACAAGCTATGATAGGATTTTAATTGACATAATTTAAGATGTGTGTGCACTGAGGCTTGAAACTTGATATGTAAATTGAATCTAAAGGAAAATGTAAACATAAAGATGTATTAGTCATCATAGCTACAAAGGCATGATTACCAGAAGAATTGTTAGCTTAACAAAACATTCAAATATTTTTAAATCCCTTTTTCATTTTAAGATTTTCCAAAATATAATATGCATATTTTAACAGGATCACAATCAGAACTCAAATGATCATCTGTTAGATAGAAAATATGGAAATTGAGACGGTAGAGAAATCTAGAATTAGAAACTTTGAATAGCTGTAGCCCACTAGAATCACACCACACTGACCATTAATAAACATCTCTGCTAGTTCAAGAATATCAACTTGTTTAATATTCTAAGATATCATTAGGAAATGATATTAATCCAAAGCCATGGAAACTAAGTGGTATTCACCCACTGTACTACTCATTTATTTCCTCAGTCGTGACATCACTGAACATACCGACATGTTTTGGTTGGTAATTGTACCTAGTCATTTGATAAAGGTGAATGAACCTCCTGATGTCTGATTTTTAATTGACATTGATGCCGTTAGACACTTCTTGTTAAAAACCAGACGCCATCATTAAACACATTTACACAAACCTTGTACATATCATTACCTACATGGTGTCAGAGATATGGCTTTGTCCAACTTATAACAGTCAATATTCACAGAACATCACACATATCAAATCTTTTTACTGCTCAAGTCTTCAAATATTTTAACAATGATCGTAATTTATAATCAGATTGTAGTCTGAAGAAATGTTCAGCTTAGGTAACAGATATCTGAGGTATAAAGTAATGTATTTCTTGTGCAAGAGTAGACCATTGTATGTTGTATATATATAGACACCAGAGATCGTCTCTGAGGAGCCACAGAAGCCAAAACAACTACACAGACCGATGGAATCACTCACCAGAGCACAATTGGAAATGGTTAAATTTAGAATAAGACCGGCAAATACAGTCAGCGATATCGATTACCATCACAAAACGAGACAAGTTGTGGATATAGCAATGGAGGAACTTAAAAAAGATTTGGAATTAAGCGACAGCGAATCAGATGATACAGCGTCGGAAGTGAATCCATCAGAAGGAGAACTAAATATAGTGGACTACAAAGAACTTGGATACCAGAGCGAAGGAACAGATTGCCAAGATGAGTTATTATAAGAACGAACTATGATCCTAAATCCAATTATTTTTATTATTTTATAATGCTTATTTAACTCTTCAAACATCTCTTGTCAATACTAGGTCATTAAGAGTTACCGAACTTCATAACAATAACACCACGTGAAAAGGGGTACCACATTTAGGGTACCTTAGGGGCTGAAATTTGTTGTATCTTTGCCCTGATGAGCCGTAACTGGCGAAACCGGTCGGCAAATAATAAAAGTATTCTACCTACCTAATTTTTTGAAACTGGTTGATGTTGAGTACACTTCTACCTAAGATGTTTTTGTATATATATAGTTGTCATTATTTTTTACATGTAAGTTTACTGATATTTTTTCAACATAAAATAAACCCCACATATGCAGAAAATTTCATATATAGTAATAGTCACAGAAGGGAAGACATGAAAAAAATGTGCTAGAGAACACAGTTCTACCATTGTTGTTCTCTAGCAGACATTCTAGGACAGCTAGTGGACAGATCAATCAGATCACTAGGTCAAAATCATATTATACCTGGTCAATACAGACAGTAATTATAAAATCAGGATTCAAAAGATGAGAAATGCATTGAGCATGATGTGGTGTCTCTGTATTATAGTTTCATGACATTGCAGAAGTTTTTTTTTTGTAACTTTTTATTTTTCATTTTTTATACATACACAAATCAACCACCGTACACACATTCACACATGTAGAATTATCACCATGATCATCATCATCATTGCAGAAGTTGTCAAATGTGACCTTTGACCCTTTACTATGGGGTTGATATGTTGTGATATTGCACAATGAAAATATATGATATATAGTGCAAGTCTATAATTTGCTGTAAATGGCAGGAGTAGTGTACAATCAGACTAAAACAGAGTGGAAACATGCCTGTTTCTGAGTGCTGTAAGATACCATTAATCATCATCTTTGGGGCGAATTGCCATAAGACATTTAACCAAGTACAGTTATTTTGACACCTACATTCACAACAATCTGATTTAACCAGGTAGAACAGTCCATAAGCTTAATGGTTCAGCCACTTCAGCCATAATTATCTGAACCAAAATGACAAGTTGAACCTTACGTAAACAGAAAGGCAACATCAGGGCAGGAGAAAACTGCCTTACAACAACACAGCCCAAAACTTCATTCAGAACCATCAGCGAAACTAATGGGTATCTAATCATCACACTAACAAGTTGCCATCCTTGATACTCAAGGGGTTACAATCACTTTTGCTCTATACACCCCTGGAACATGGTGTGAAAATGTTGAATATCTGTGGTTATATATATATACAGGGTTAGTGTGCTGTCACAGATCACGCAGCCTTAATGTAACGAGTGTCGATTAGAGTTACTCCCCTTAGTTTGCTCTTCAGTATTAACAAACGTTGCTACTACGTCATGTTATGAAACACAATTTCGATGCATCGTATGCATATTTTCCTTTCAATGTAGTTTGTGGCCCCCATACACTGTTAGTTTTGTGATTTAATCAGTTAATCGTTATGCCTATTTACTAAGTAAATCATGTTTTCTGTGTTTTGTACATCTTAATTGGCAAAATAGCACGTTTTGTGTCAATCATACTCAAGCTGATGTATTTCATTGTTTTGTTTTATAGTTTCACTTGATTCGTCTGTAATAAATGAGATTTCTTTAAGATACAAACAAATTAACTTAAGTTTACAACTCACTAGTTAATTGAAATCAGAAAAGTGACAGTTTCAAAATCAACATTTTTCAATGTAAGAAGTGCATGTTTGGACTTCTGTAGTCAAAAAGTTCCAAGGAATATGTCACTTCCGGTCAACCGGTAAAGTTGAATTTTTTGACGCTGCGCTAGTATCGAAAATCAATGATTTTTATCATTTAAGAGAATGATAGGTGGAAATGTGGTTGCAAGGTGGTAAGATATATCTGTTTCTTAGTTTTCTATATTCTTGGAATATTATTTTCTAATTATTTTGCAAGAAATATGTTCTTAAGTTACCGTAGCTGTGGCAAGTAGAAGTAAACAAGATGGAGACCCGCCCATCGGCAACTAGTCAAAGAATAAAGGAAAGTCAGCTGGGAAAACTTCAAGAGGAGCCTTGAAGTCCAATTCAAGAACACAATCTGCGGATGAATCGCCCTTCAAAATGCCATGGGGAAGCGACAATGAGGAAGATGGGGACGAGGCATGGCAATGCCAGGAGTGTGACAAATTGTTCACAGACCCATTGGCGAAAATGTTAGAATGCCAAAGGTGCAAGCATCACTTCTGTATCAAGTGCTTAAATAAAACGGAGGATGAGCATAAATTCTTACAATCATCTGATTCCATGTGGTTTTGTGGATACTGCCGTGAGATGATAGAAAAGAACATTATAACTGACCGCAAGATTGAAGAGAGGTGTCATATTATTATGCAAGCTTACGAGAGTAGAATAGCTGCGAATGAATTGAACTTGGAGAGCAAATGTGATAAGGCAAAAGTCCAGGAAATTGTTAAAAAGGAAATTGGAGCTAAAAAGAACGTTGGATTGGCTGTAGGGAAAGGAGTTCAGAGAAAAGAGATCATCGGCCATGATGAAGATGTGGAGGGTATCACCATGGAGACAGTAATAGCAGAGATGAATGAGAGGAAATCAAGAAAAAACAACATTGTAATCCACCCGATGGAAGAAGACAAACAGATGACAAAAGTCAGAGAAAACAAGAAGATACTGAAACAATTAAAAGAATTCTTAGATCATGCAAGGTTACAGAAGAGGTGAACAACATCTCAAAGGTTATCAGACTTGGAAAATTCAAGGAAACACAGAGAGAAAAAACAAGTGGAAATACTGCTAGGGAGAGAAGTGGTGGGAGACCCATATTGGTAACCTTCACCAAAAATGAAACAAAAGCAGAGCTGTTCAGAAACATCAGGCAATTAGACACAGCAGAGGAATTCAAAAACATACAAATTTCAAATGACCTGACTAAAACTGAGAGAGACCAAGAGAGACAGCTGAGAGAAGAAGCTAGAAGGATGGAGTCACAGTTGTCAGGGGAAGTAAGGTTCAGGGTACGGGGTCCACCATGGGCAAGAAGAGTGGTGAAAGTTCTTCTTTCAAAAGACTTTTTTAAATAAGATTAATGAATTCAAAAACAGATTTTCAGCAGAAAATGAACCAGATATAATTGCAATTACAGAAGTATCACCAAAGAATATGCGCTACACTATCAATAAATCTGAATTGGAATTGATTAACTACGAGTTATTTCCTAGTGACTTCCTGGGAAATAGAAGAAGTGTTATTGTTTATGTCACAAAAAGATTGAGTGCAGTAGATTTCGAGGAGAGTGCGTGGATATGTTGTTGAATAAAGTTTGTGACTGCAGCTTTACACATACAGTTATAACCGGAGATTTAAACTTCCCAGATATTAATTGGAGTGCATGGAGTACAAAGGAAGCAAATAGTGCAAACTTTCTGGAATGTATCAGGGATAACTTTTTATACCAAGTTGTGAATAAAAACACCAGACATAGGCATGGGCAAGAATCTTCATTGTTAGTCCTGCTGCTGGTGAATGACATTGACAATATTGATACAATTGAAAATTTGGAACCTGTAGGATCCAGTGATCACTGTGTCATTAGGTTTGAATACAACTGCTTCTTCAATCAAGATCAAACCACTCAGGAAAGATTGAACTACTATAGGGGAGACTATGGCACCATGCTGGAGGAACTATACATGGATTGGGATTGTAATGATATCTACATTTTTATTTCCCTTTTCGTGCCCCAATAAAGCATTGATCACGGTGGTTTGCATGTTTGTAATTTGTATATAGAGTAGGACATTATTGTCAAATGCACTCATGATCTAAAGTTAGTAAAAAATGGAATAACCCGATTTACCTTGAAGTGGTACCTTCCATTTGTATATAAAGGACGATGGACCTTCATTCCTGTACTTCGTTTGCAACGTTAAGACGGTCACAAAAGAAGATAGCTACAGCAAGGGAAAGGAAGGTAATACTCTGCGCACTGTACAAGTGCCGTTGCGCTGGTTGACAATTGCGCAGGTGGTCGCCGTTGCTCTGTGAGACCGAGTAATAAGACCACGAGTGCGTGTGCTTGCCTATGCGCTGACAGGTAGTGGGCGTGTAGTGCTGGGTATAGTTATATGTTTTCTCTGTCAATTACCAATCATAGTGTACATATTATTAATTCAGTATAAATTAGACTGTGTTTATTATTGTTACAGTAGAATTAAGCAATTCTATCTTACACCGGCGCTGACCAAGCCAGAGCACCGTTATATTTTGTATTATAGTTAAATACAGCACATCCCAAGTATATTCTTAGGACGAACCTGGGAGTTAATAGGACACCCTGCACCTTACAAAAACTGGTGGCAGCGGTGGGATACATTGTATTGTACATTTTATTCTGATTTGGTTATAATACATCATTATAATTATGGACATAGAGGAGGAAATCAGCCGTATTGAGGAGCAGATAACCTCTCTGAGGCTCCAGAGATCGGGCATAGGCGGGAGGATAGATCATTCGAGGCCTTTGTTGACACCGAGAAACGCCGGAACAAGGGATTCAGGTATCGCCAGTGCACAACAAGCTGACAGGGGCAATCTCCCTCCCGTAGATGAAGCCATAGATATACAGATGTATTCTAGCTCGGGTAGTGCGCAGCATGCCGAGGCTGGAGCAAGGCCAAAAGTAAAGTTCTCTGAGTACGACCCCTCAGACTATGGGGAGGATGGCAGATATACTAATCTTCGGTCAATGGACAATATAACAGAAAGACGGGGTAAGTATAACAGCCGGCCATGGATATCATCAGATATGGAATATGATCTAGACAGGCACCAAGGGTCGCCAATCACAGGCCTTGACAAAGGAAAGCAAGGAGTAAGGATAAAGCCTCCTACCTATGATGGTACTGGATCATGGAAAGATTACAAAACGCACTTTGACACCTGCGCTAGGATAACACCAATCAGCACTATGAGATACTAGTCAACTCACTAGAGGAGCGTTTTGCACCCCCTAACCAAACTGAACTTTATAGGGTCCAGTTACGGGAAAGACGCCAGAAAGCCACTGAGACATTACCGGAGCTCGGGCAGGCTATACGACGGTTAGTTAGCATGGCTTACCCAACAGCACCAGGTGATGTAAGGGAAACCCTTGCAAAAGAGCAATTCATAGATGCGTTGTTTGATTCAGAAATGAGGATTAGGATTAAACAGTCGAGGCTTAAATATCTTAATGATGCAATCCGACTTGCAGTTGAATTAGAAGCTTACAATAGAGCCGAGCATGGTCACCGGGAAGAACGGTGACAACTGCGTGCGGCGAGTGCAACAGACAGTGTCGTCTCTATTGCTGAGGAGAGTGGTCATTCTGATATTCTGAAGGCTGTGGCGTTGTTGCAGGACAAATTAGAAACACTACAAAAGGACATGGCGCTACTGAAGCAAAGCAAGGAGCATGGTTCCAGAAAGAAATGGATGGATGATATTTCCTGCTATTTCTGTAAGGAAAAGGGGCATGTGAAAAAGAAATGCCCAAAGTTCTTGGAGCGGACACTAGAACATAAAGGAAATGGAAAGAAGGGCAAGTCAGCATTAAAAAGATTGCAAATGCGGAAAGAACGTAGAGATGCAAATGGACCTCGATCAAAAATAGGGGTTAGCTCTATTACTAATGAAGCTGGCATGTATATGCGGGCAAACATACAGGGCGCGGAGACCACATGTCTTGTTGATACAGGAGCGTCGCTCTCCTTGCTGTCTGCTAAATTTTACAATAGCATGTCAGAGCAGTGTCGGCCAGTCCTGGCAGCAACTAAATGTACAGTCGCAGCTGCCAGAGGCAGCGATCTTGTCTTACATGGCAAAGGAATGTTTGATGTACAAATAGATAGTGAGGTGATCAGATTGGAACTGATAGTAGCAGAGATCAGTACAGAGGGAGGCATTCATGGTCTTGATTTTCTGAGAGCTATAGATGCAGTGATTGATGTAAAGCAGGAAAGCTTACAAATCAGGGGAAGACATGTACCTCTCGTTTTTCAAGGACCATTTGGATGCCGAAGGATTTCAGTAGTAGAAACAGTTAGCCTCCCCCCTTGCTCAGAAATGATTGTACCAGGAAGGGTATTGCAGACAAAAAGCAATACACGTAGTTATAAAGGCTTAGGTGTAGTTGAACCGACAGAGAAATTCTTGAGTTCGGAAAGGTCATTAGTGGCCAGGACATTGGTACAATGTAGGGAAGTACTGCCCGTTCGTGTACTAAATCCCTCAAATGAACCTCAAGTTATCTATGCTGGGACAGTGGTAGGAGAACTGTCACCAGCAGGAAAGGTGTTTGACATGTGCCAGTCTTTGAATCCGACCAAGGTAGGTGAGAACAAAGAGCTGCAACATCTGTTGGAGAAAACAGTGGAGAAGCTTGCACCAGAACAAGCTAAAGGAGCGAATAAACTCCTAGAAGAGTATCAAGATTTATTTGCGTCCTCAAATAGCGACCTGGGGCACACGGATATAGTCCGGCATGAGATAAAAACGGGAGATGCACAACCAATTAAACAACCCCTTCAATGAATACCTGTGCGTATGCAGGAAGAAGTGGACAAGCTCTTAGGGGATATGCTTGCCAGAAAGGTGGTGGAACCATCAAACAGTCCATGGTCGTCTGAAATAGTGCTCGTAAAGAAAAAGGACGGCACAATGCGTTTTTGTGTGGACTATAGGCGGTTGAACTCTGTCACAGTAAAGGATGCATACCCTTTGCCGAGAATTGATGATTCTCTGGATCAATAGTCTGGAAACTCATGGTTTTCAACACTGGATTTATGCTCCGGTTATTGGCAGGTTGAAGTAGAACCTCAAGCTAGGCCTAAGACAGCATTTGCGACGAGGCAGGGGCTGTTTCAGTTTTGCCTCATGCCATTTGGGCTGTGTTCAGCGCCTGCTACATTCCAGAGGCTGATGGAGAAGGTATTAGCTGGTGTGCAGTGGCAAATCTGTCTGGTTTACTTGGATGACGTGATAGTAGTAGGAAAAACATTCCAGGATATGGTTGACAACCTTAAAGCAGTCTTTGACAGGTTAAGGACTGCTTGGCTGAGGCTTAAGCCGTATTTTTTTCAGTCTGTCCAGGTGACAGTTTGTTATAAAGAGACACTTTGCTTTGTGAACAAGAAACTGTATGATATCTTATGCGGGACTCATAAGGCCTAAGGGGAGGGCAATGTAATGATATTTACATTTTGATATCCCTTTTTGTGCCCCAGTAAAGCATCGATCACGGTAGTTTGCGTGTTTGTAATTTGTATATAGAGTAGGACATTATAGTCAAACGCACTCATGATCTAAAGTTAGTAAAAAATGGAATCACCCACTTTACCTTGAAGTGGTACCTTCCATTTGTATATAAAGGACTTCGGACCTTCGTTCTTGTACGGTCACAAAAGAAAATAGCTACAGCAAGGGAAAGGAAGGTAATACTACAACCCTGAATAAGGGTGTGAAAACAACAAATAGATAGCTAAGAGCCTGAACAAGGCTCTGTATCTATTTGTTTGAGTATATATAAGCACTGAACAAGTACTAGTGTTGGCACTCTCTATATAAGTGCCAGTGTGCGCTAGGGACTAGTGCTTAGTTAGGAGCAATTGCTCTGCGCACTGTACAAGTGCCGTTGCGCTGGTTGACAATTGTGCAGGTGGTCGCCGTTGCTCTGTGGGATCGAGTAATAAGACCAGGAGTGCGTGTGCTTGCCTATGTGCTGACAGGTAGTGGGCGTGTAGTGCTGGGTATAGTTATATGTTTTCTCTGTCAATTACCAATCATAGTGTACATATTATTAATCAAGTATAAATTAGACTGTGTTTATTATTGTTACAGTAGAATTAAGCAATTCTATCTTCCACCGGCGCTGACCAAGCCAGTGCACCATTATATTTTGTATTATAGTTAAATACAGCACATCCCAAGTATATTCTTAGGACGAACCCGGGGGTTAATAGGACACCCTGCACGTTACAGGATCAAGAATTTAATGGATGTGATACTTTGCAAATGTGGGACATATTCCTAGATAAGCTATCATCGGCAATTGAGAAACGCATTCCAAGGTGCAAGCCAAAAAATTCTAAGGGTTCTTTTCCACTTTCAAAGAATAAAGAGTATAAAAAGGAAACACAGACTGTGCGAGAGATACATGGAGGCCAGGAACAAGGTAAAGCAGTTGATAAGGAAGGAGCGGAAAGACAAAGAAAGGCAAGTGGCGGATTCCACAAAGCAAAGAGTAAAAACTTCTGGAAATATATAAACTCCAAAAGAAAATCAAGGAGTGGAGTGTCAGAGCTTCATGAGAGGAAAGACACTGGGATTGTCATCGCCAGCAAGGATGAGGATAAGGCAGAAGTACTTGCAAACTTTTTCAGTAGTGTCTTCACCGAAGAGGACTGTAATAATATACCAGCATTGAGAAGTGAAGACATAATACAAGATACAGTAGCTGATATAACAATTGAGGAGGTTAATAATCTACTCCATAAGTTGAATGTTACTAAATCTCCTGGGCCTGACAAGTTACATCCAAAGGTGTTGTATGAATTACATTCTGTTAAATAAACAAATCAATTTTGAGGATATATGAAATGTTGTTGAAGACGGGTGACATACCAGAGATATGGAAAGTTGCCACTATCACTGCTATTTTCAAGAAAGGAGACAAAGGTCAGCATCAAACTACAGACCAGTCAGTCTGACAAGTATTCTGTGTAAGATGATGGAAAAGTTTATTAGAACAAGAATAATGGAGCACATGGAAAAAAATAGTTTATTCAGTGATAGACAATTTGGATTTTTAGGAGGGAGGTCAAATGCATTACAACTATTTCGTGTATTAGACAAATGGACTGAAGTTCTGGACCCAGGAAGAGTTAAACACACTGTATATATGGACTTCATGAAAGCCTTCGACAAAGTGCCACACCAAAGATTTATCAAGAAGCTCAAAATGTATGGAATAAATAAGAATCTGTGTGCCTGGATTAGATTTTCTTAAAAATAGGAAACAGTGTGCACAAGTCAATGGAGCACATTCTAAGTGGCATGAAGTAACCAGTGGAATACCCCAAGGATCAGTTCTTGGGCCTGTTTTATTTGTGATGTTTATAAATGACTTACCTGAATATGTTACATCAGATGTGTTTTTATTTGTGGATGACACAAAAGTATATATGGTAATTAAGGACACTGACGACACTTCGATACTTCAGTATGATCTTGACCAGCTGTACCAATAGAGTGAAAGATGGTTGTTGAAGTTTCATCCAGATAAGTGTAAGGTTTTATCCATCCACAACAAAGGTAAGACTGTTGAGGAAACTAAGTATAGCATGAATACATACGACGGTGGTAGAGAAGTCCTGGATAATGTTGGAAGCGAGAGGGATATTGGGGTAACCATAGACAGGCATCTTACATTTGAGAAGCATACACAAATTCAAGTAAATAAGGCAAATCAGATTGTTGGGCTTATGAGATGTAGCTTTATATATTTAGACAACAGAACGTTCAACTTATTATTCAAAGCTCTCGATAGGCCTTGTACGGAATAAGCAAGCTCTGACTGGTCACCTTACAAGAAAAAGGATATGTAGGCAGTATAAAATGTCCAAAGGCGAGCTACAAGGATGCTACCAAACATGAAAGACATGAGCTATGAACAACGTTTAAAACGGCTGAAGATACCAACCCTCAAATTCAGACTTCACAGCAAGCTATGGATCAGATACCAGAAGGACAGCAATTCATAATGTGGTGTTTACAAACAATTCTGAGCTGCCTATAGAGGACCAGTAGGTCCTGCAGGCGGAAACAAAAAGTAACATAAGGTAAGGAGTTGTGACCAAATATTCATGGTCAATTTTTATGCACTTGACAGACGACAGCAAAACAATGGCATCTAAGTATGGATTGATCAAAACTGGAAGGGTATTTGGCATGTAAAAATGTTTATTAGGGAAAAATAAACAAATTTGCCAACGAAATATATATTAATATCTTATGGTGAATGGATTTAATCACATTTGTTCATTCTTTCTGGAAGCAACCAAAATCATGGGAGCGCAAGGTCGCGCAAGTCAATAGTCGATACATCTCGACAATATGTCAGGTCCGAAATATAACGTTCCGAAACAGTTGTCCAGACGATACCTTTTAGGTTGTAATTGGAAGATAGTACAGACGGAGCAAGACAATAAATTATGTCCTATTTAACACCTTTATCCTAGATAATCTGGCTAAAGGAGTACATATCACACATATATGCTGAATATAAGAAGGATTCATAGTTGATGCATACAAAGTAGGAAACGTACTTACTTCACTTCGTGACAATATAACAGTGTGTCCTGATTTTCCACCTCAATTTGTTGAGTTATCAGATAAGCTTACGACTGGAATAGCACGTGTTCATTTTAGCACAAAAAAATGTTTCTTTAGTTAAAGAATTGATATGGGTCTTAATAACCAACAGTTGATACAAAATACAGAGTTAAAACATAAACCACAAAAAACCCCAAAACCTAATAAAAACGTGCTCTACTTTCTGTTTTGTCTCTTCCGGGTTAAGCACATTCAGTACTCCTCACACATCTACGTTGATGTGAAGATGTTTCTGAGGCACTCCGAAATGTGAAGTGTGGTCATTTTACCTCTGCTAATTGATGATATCACCATAACATATTTGTTTTCGATTATGTTAATGTATGGATTTTCAGTATTTCTGTAAATTGTCCCATGTATTTTTTCATCATAGAACAAAGACTATAAACATCTCCAACAGGAAAACACATATTGAGCATGCGCCTATGGTTACAGACGGTTTCCGGGAAGAATTCAATGCGCGTGCGTTGTTTTTTTACATTGCCCTCCGCCATTGTTAAAGATGTCTCGCTACTCGAGACCGCCTAACTCATCTCTCTATGTTCGTAATGTTCCTGATAATACGAGGTGCGTATCCCCTATAGGACGGATTAAGTTTTGTGTCGCAGCAGGAGAATAACAAAATTATCAAATGGTGGTTCTGATGTGTTACGGTATATGCATGCATGAAAATAAATGGTCTACAGTATTGGGGTGGGGGGGTTCTTCGGTACTTCTAAAATATCAGTCGTTTAGGCAGAGTATTATTCATAATGGGTTGGACCTTTATACTTTTGTTTACGTCCTAGATATATGTTTCTGTAGCATAGGCTTCCAAATTTCGACGCACATGGATCATGAAACGGTGTGGTCACGGATTTTTGTCTTGAGGATAGATGTTGGATGGGACGCATTTTACTGAATTATAACATTTCAGGGGATGACTTTGTCTGTATAACTTACATGTATTAAGTTGCTAGAGAAAGGCCATTTTTGTAATTTAAGCATACATGTATTACCATGTAATTGGCCAAAACTTAGTTTGCCAACCATGTTTCAATTCTTACTTTGTAAAATGACCTTCATATGTGTCACTGAGCGAAATGAATTAATCTGAATCTGAAAAAAATAAAACAGAGCAAAAAGAAAAAAGTAAAAGCTTACTCTTCAAAGGCATGTTTTATGTATTTCAAGGAAGTTGCAAAAGTGATATAAGGCTTATAATTGAAATATTGAGAATTAGAATGAGAAAGTTCCTTTTGTAGAAGTAGAGAGTACAGGTCGCCTTACTAGCCTTTACTAGTGGTAATTTTCCTTTAATGGAATGGTAGAGTGATTGAATAGAAACCAAAGGGTCTTTTAGAGTTTTAAACCCAATGGTGGCATGGTTTTAATGTGTTAATTTTCGAACATTTCAATGAATTTTTACCTTTTTCTTGTCAACACATTGTTCAAGTAATGAATACTTAAATGAATAAAAAGTTTATAATGGCCTTTAGTCAACTGAGGCCCAAGCAGATCACAAGCATATTCATGTATTGTAAGCAAGCAATACATGAAAATGGATGTATCCACCAAATACCTAAAAGTAGTAGAGATATAATATTGATACATGATTCATCAAAAAAGCTTCATCCAAGAGCAGGTGTCCAAGAGGTAAACTTCACTTTTGGCTGCAATGCTGGTGACCTGCAAACTGATGGAACTTTGGGTTCCTTTCATTAAGGATTAAAAAAAATGTATTTATTATCAAATTTATTGTATAGTTGGTAATATTTGTGGTGGTTTTAATTTTACTCTGTTTGTGTCATTACAGATAGGCAAAATAAAATACAGAACAAAAATCATGGAAAATATGTGTTATCATCCTTGTATCAGAAACAATATATAGACATGCAATGATTTTTGGGAGGGGAGGGGGGGAACCTGCAAAATTGCCCAACTTAGAACACCCCACAAAATAAAACAACTATATAGTATATATGAGTTTCCTGTTGTTTTAAAAAAAGTTAAGTTTGCCAAGATTTCTCTTTTTTTTTTTTTCATTTATTGCATGTTTATTTGACACATTATATGCCATATGAGTAGGAAATATTCTTTTGTAGTGAACACAGTGTGTGTGACTTGTAAATTTTCTGTATTTCATGGTAAAATGATGTAAAAGAGATTCTCGGTATAGGGATTGTGTTGAGGGTCTTATGGGAATATTCAGTATACAAACTAATATACAATATTTAATTTGCAGACATTTGCTCATCTGTGATTTATCCATAACAGGTTTGCTTTACTTCAGCCGAACACTGAAATATTTGTGTGTATTTTAAACTTGACAAGGAATAAGCCAATGTCGCTTTCAGCAGAAATTATAAGTGCACAGTGTACAGACCAATACTTCGCACAAAATTTGTGATCCAGTTAGTGACCGAGTTTCACATTCCCAAATGTGCTATATTTAGACAGTTTAATTTTATATTGGCAAGTGATATTTCAGGGAATCGTATTAAGAGTTATTAGAACAAGTTCACCATATCAGTATTTCAGATGGTTCTATTTTCATTTTTTCTTACCAGATGATAGTTCCATTCATACATTCAATCTGGTAAAAATATCTATCTCTTTTGTAAATAAAAAAAAAAAGTTGAGCTGCACTGCAAATAGAAAATACTCAAATTATGTGGAATTTCTAGTATTGCTGTGGAAAAAAAATCACTGGTTTTTACCAATTGCAATCAAGTAATTGCTTTTTGATTTATTAACATTTAAGAGTCTTTCAACTTCTAGAACATTGCAAAACATTGAATATTTTTGAAAGGTATTAAAGAGTTGAAAATGAAAAATTGGGGTTGGTCAGAAAACTAGAAACACCTTTTTTTTTTTGGCTGAGGGGAGGGTATACTTATGTGTATCAGTTTACAATATTGTATAAGTGGTACTGATACATGAAGATTTTGAATATGATCTTATTTGCTTTGGGAGGATTATTGATGCTGGAAAGGCATGCACTAACAGACCTTGAGTGTAATCTGTTGATTACCTTAGATTTTCATTGTTGATAGATATTGATAATTTTGTTTTATATGATGTATGCTTCAAAGAATTTCCTAACACAAGTATAGTAGTATTGATGTTTGCTTTGTAATTTATGTATGTGTACAGAACTGAAGAGTTGCGCTCCCTGTTTGGTAAATATGGTCCCTTAAAAGATGTTTACGTTCCCGTGGATTATTTCACACGTCGACCACGAGGTTTTGCATATATACAATATCCTTTCTTGTTTCACAGTCCTAGTTGAAACGTTGAATTTTAGAAATTATTCCTTGGTGATTGTTCTCTGAAAGTTGACAGATCATGCCTTTATTTTTATGCAATTTCTTGTTACTTTATAGCCAAGCACTTGATACTATTGACATGATCATCCAAGTAAACATTTTTTTAGAAATAACGATTGTCAATTGTATTGAACACACATGCTTCATATATAATTTTTTCTTCTTTTCTATCAGACTTCAAAGTCAAGTTGCGAAGTATAAGGTTGCTACTAACATGGCAAATTATACAAGTACAACTACTCAAGCAAAGCTATCGCGTAAAGATCAAGAGTTCAAGACATAGAGCTCAAGGTCAAAGAGTATACAGATTACAGGCAAAGTTAAAGGTTTCAAGTCAAGCTGCTCAAGGCGTAATGTCAAGACAAGACAAGGCAAGGGTTAAAGACACAGTAAGAAGGCTCAAGCTTAAAGCACAGTAAAGGTCAAGCATAAAGAGAGAATAAAGCTCGTATAAAGATCCAAGATAAAGATAATGGTCAAGCGTCGTCTTCACTTTCAAGTATTTGGCTAAAAAGATCTCAAGCAATGGATACTACTCCGCAATCGACATGGGACCAAAGGGTTATTCGTGATCAAGCCACAGAATGTCTGTTTAAAAAGTCTGGTCTTCGAAAATCTATTGGTTCAACAGTCGTACAAATCACTGCTACTTCAAGTCAAGAAACAACGTTAATACACGTATCTGCTGACAAAGTCTTAATTCAGGTATACCTTTATATACATTCACATTCATTGGACAAATCAAACCCAACAGAAATCTTTCCTCTTCAGTACTTAGGAATTTTTTCACATAAATTGATAATTCTGCTATGATTTTGATGTATTCATTTCAAGCAACTTTGATGTGATTAAGTGTACTTCAAATAGATGGTAATATTAATGATTAATCTCTTAGTTTTAATATTAAATGCTGTTAAAAATAAAAGTTAGGTTCAACATGAAAGAAAAGTCCTTAACCAGATAACGTTTGAAGATCCAAGAGATGCTGATGATGCATTGTATCACCTAGATAGAACAAGATTTTATGGAAGAGAACTGGAGATTGAGTTTGCAAGAGGAGACAGAAAGTGTAAGTTGCTCAAATAAATTTACAATATTGTCAAAAACAAATCTAGGTATTGCTAATTCTCTTGTCACCTTTGTTTACATATGTGAAGAAATATACTGTAATGGTTCTTGTTTCAGGGTTAGAGTTTTCTAGTTGGACATATATATATAAACTCTCTGATTCATGTGTATATAGCTGTCTTTGGATTTAGATTTCAGAGTTAAAATCTTATACTGCAATATTTTATAACAGTACTGAATAAATCTTCAATAGTCAAGATTTAGGGAAGGGGGTGTTAGTTGAAAGGTTTTCTCAAGGAACCTTCTATAGTGCTATTGAATTAGGACTGACAGTGCATCTGGTCACTTGAGACTTCCAGCAGGCAAACCAGTCCTTACAACAAACTCTAATATATAATTCTTTAAAATATAAAGTGGGAAAATCTGATCCAATATCTAAAGCCCTGTTGAAAATTGAAGTCAACTTATTTGAAATGTTTGCACAGCTCCCAATCAGATGAGATCAAAGGAAAAGTCTAGAAGAGGCAGCTCACCATATCATGGCGGCTATCGTGATGACTATGATCGAGGGCGAAGAAGAAGAAGCAGAAGTCCAAGGTGTGTATAGCAGATAAAATTACTTATGTGTTGGTAAAAATGATGTAATCAGCAATCTTAGTATTGTTTTATAGAAACATCAGTCAAATTTGAAAAACTTATTGGAAGAGATTGATACTTATTATGGGAAAATATAAGATTGCAGTTATGCTAAATTTTTATATCCACAGATACCATTCTAGGTCACGTTCCAGAAGCCCTAACTACTCCAGCAGGTGAGTTTTTTCAATACAGATTTACTGCTGTTTGAATATTAAACAATATTTTACAATTGTGAAACTTTTTGGTATTTTCAATTAGTAGAGCTGGCATAATGATCGGTTATACTGAAGAGTTACAGGAAATAGCTTTGTCTTTCACAGGTACAGTACATCATAGAATAGACTCATTAGCTGAATTCAGCTTATGGTGTCTTTTCTACCTTATGTTGCAGGTTTCATTCTAGATCCCGATCCAGAAGCCCATATTATTCTAGGCGGTGAGTTGTTGTTGAAAACAAATTCAACATGTGAGGAAGGTTCATGAATACTATATTCATTTAAGATGCAGCTTCCTATACCTATTCCTATTTTTAGCAACTGATTTTCATGCCGGAGAAGGTTTGTAAAGTTGTTGTTTTTTGTGATCACATGTATTTTGTACATTTGTATGCTTTTATGATTTGCTCCATTCCCAAAAATTTTCTCATCAGACAAAGCTATGGTAGACATTGATAGATTATGTTGAATAGCGGTAGCAAATTTGTACCATTTGAAAACAAATTAGCGGATAGTGATGGCTCTCATTAGTGAGATGAGCATTAAGCTGGATGCTCATCAGGATTTATTATGTTGGACATGATACGGAGAGCATTATTTCAGTTCTTCAATCTTTTACAAGACTGCCTACTGTTGCAGATGCAGATCACCATATGACTATTATGATAGTAGGTGAGTGACATGTCACATGGATGATTCTGCTGATTTTTATCATTAGGGAGGATTCTTATGATAAGTGATCCTGTATGAATGCTTCAATTTTGTTTTAGTAATTCTTTTTCATCTTTAATTATTGCAGTGTGTAATGTATCTGACATATATCTTCTGCTTCAGTGCCTTGATATTTACTCTTTTTTTTTCTTTTTGATTCCAGTTTTAACACTTTGCGCTCTGCTCTAGTAAAGTAGGCTATTGCCAAACTTATTCCACATCAGCAGATAGTGTCTAGCAGAGGTATCAGTTGTAAGATTGTTTCTGGTAAAAGTCAAGATATTCAACACATTCCAAAGCACAAATTAGGAAATAATGTTTTAATTGGATATAAAGTTTAGCTTCGAAGAAGGATTTTCAGAAGAAAAGTTCATTGACAAATTATTTGGAGAATTCATTATCAAAAATTTCAAGCATCAAAGTATAAAATTTCTGGAAACCTCCCCGAGTCAGTCCTCACACATATGGTTGAAATACTACTACAATAGTCCATTGTCATTTCAGCATTCACTAGTGTTCATTTTTAAGGAAGTCATACATTGCAATGCTTACTCTTAGGTGATAAATAGGTCTCTTTAAGGCAATAGAAAGGAAGACTCAAAAGACTTGAGCATGCATATATTTTGTTTTCCTGCAAGTAAGGAGAAAGGTACATGCCTATGTATGGTCATAATGTTAAGGTTTCATTACTTCAAACTTTTATGAAGAAATATGAAGTTAAAGCTCTAAAAGGGTTTGATAAGCACCCTTGTCCAACTGTTGCTTAGAATGTTTCGAAATCATTTACAATAAACTTTTGTTTACCATGACAGAAAGTTTTGATGCCATCATTTGATCGGTTATATTTTTCTAATTTTGAATCTGGAACACAATTTCTAAAATTACTAAGAGATACAGTGAGTCCTCAAAATTTGAGAGTCCCAAAGGAAAACTATTTGTCCAAGACTCAAATATCTCAGTCCACTAAATCACTGGTTAATGTCTTATTTTATGGAGTCATGTCCCTTTTATATTACATTCTTTGTTCTTCGCAGTAACATGAGTTTTATTTTGCATAGGTTGTGCTGTTATAATTGGCTATGATGTCTATTTTAATGAACAATGTGATCTTTGTTGTATGGCATGATAGAGTGAAGAGTTTTATTATTTTTTATTTCTTGTTTGTTTTCCCCCCTTCCTTTTCATATGAGTGTCCTTGTCTAGTTGTGATTTTGTCAGAAGTTCGATGATGTAACCAGTTTTGATTACTAAGACCAAGGCTGTTTTGTAGTTGTCATGGCCAAAACATTTGGACCTACAGTCAAGATATCAAATTTTAGGTCATTTTCTAGTACTTGTCCAAACAGTTGGAACAACAGTCAAAACACAAAGACCTAGGCCTTTTTTTAGTTATGGTATTGCCATCTGAACACTTATTTTCATGAAAAATGTGTTAACAGTTTGTATTATGAAAAAATCAATGGAGACTTGTCTAGTTGGATGATGACAAAGGGAAGAAGTAAAGCAGAACTGCATTAAACACTACCATGATGTCTACTCTGTATTTACTAATGCCTTGGTCTAGTGTATTTTAATGTACTGGACTGTACAGTTAATTTAAAATGACTTGAGGACACAAATTGTGTTTGATAAGGGTAGCCTTTGCAGTTGAGAAATATGAAATTTTGAAAGGAAGTTTGACTTTTTCAGTACTTCATTTTTTAGTCATAAGAAAAAGGCATAAATAGAACAAAGTTAAATTTAAAACTTTAACACATTCATTTGGAATTGAAGCTACGAATGTTCTCACACCTGTGCATGGATTTTTTATTATGTAATTTATTGCATTACTCATCATTATACTAGCGGCCTATGGTTCCTTCTTTTTACACTGTAATATAATGCAGATAGTGAGTGTTAGCTTGTAGAAGTATTGTTTTGATTTTATCACATAATCAGATTTAGTATTGTGTAAGAATTACTTACATACAAGAAACATATACATTGGAAATAGATGTGTCACAGCTGGCATACCATAAACATGAAGGAAGTTGGGTTATGATTTGTTACCTTCTGATTTAATTCAATTGCTTGAGGTGTAGAACACATTTACATTTTTAGGTCCTATAGTCATTGTATTTTATCTGTGGTTGACTGCCGTACATAAACTTAAGACCTTTTAAACTTCTTAAGTCCCACTAGTCGGATTGAGGCAAGCTTGAAATGATCCGGAGATGATCTTGAGCAAGTGTTGTTATTTTTCAGATCAGTCTGAAATCCAAGATGACAGCCATCTTGAAAAACATTTCACTTCTTCTGTGCCATTATTTTCTTACCATGTAAAAACTATGAAATGGCAGTCAGGGAGGTCATTTTTTTAACATGACATGACATGGAAAACAGCTTCTTAATAAGATTTCATGCAAAGTAAAAAAAATTATCTTTCTCCCTACTGAAAATTTTTGTAGTCAGAGGACAGTTCAGGCCCAGGGGCCTATTGTTTATTAACTGTACAAGCTTCAGATAATGTAGTTAACTAACATGTTTCATTTGAATAAAGTTATTGTATTGCATCATAGAATATGCAAAGGAAAAGAAATAGGAATTATTGTTTGTAGTTACATCACATGAAGCTTTCTGCATGTAATTGATAACATCGGTGACATGTCTTTATCTATCATATTGTTACATGTGAATTTTCATTGAACAATGGTGGAAGCTTGACGATCAAGACAAGAAGACAACAATCACAGGAAGGATACAATATTCCATTGTACTTTACTTACCAGATTTTTTCTCCCTATTTCAGGCACCGATCAAGATCCAGGAGTCCTTACAATAATGACAGAAGGTTTGAAATGTTTAATTATTTTTGTATGATTTTAAAGAATTAAATACAATTCCTTGTGTATTCTGTTACATAAAATGTGATGTTGCAATTGGATTCTGGGGAATTAAGGTTTTTGAGAACAATTCATACATGGAACGTTGTCTGTTTATAGACATATAACTCTGTATTAGGTATAACCTTGTTCGTTTATAGACACATAATTCTGTATTAGGTATAAATTTGTTCATTTATAGACACATAATTCTGTATTGGGAATAACCTTGTTCGTTTATAGACACATAATTCTGTATTAGGTATAACTTTGTTCATTTATAGACATATAATTCTGTATTAGGTATAACTTTGTTCATTTATAGACATATAATTCTGTGTTGGGTATAACCTTGGTAAAGCATAGCTTGTGTGGAAAAAATAAAATATTAAAAGGCAAATTTACTTTTAGGGCCAGTCATAATGTGACAAAATTTGAAGGTTTAACATATTACAGGCTTGTAGATTGTATATTACTGCTGATGAACTTAAAATTTATGTACATTTGTACCCGTTATTTTCAGAAGGTCACGCAGCAGGAGCAGAGGAGGAAGAGACAGGTATGTACTATTTGATGTCTTTACTATTATACATTAAAAATTCAATGGTTACCTACCTGTGTTGTAGTAATAAGTACATAACAGATAAGTAATTACAAGGGAAGTACAGGAAGAGTAAGGGATAATGGAACATTTCATAGAAATTTGAGGAGGCATCAGGAGTAATATCAGGGCTCTCACATCCCATTTTAGGACTGGGGCCTGGGGCCCGGGGCCCTTAGAATTGGGGAAAATAATGGTGATTTCCTTAGAATTGGGAAAACTTGGGGTCTAAATTGGGGGGAAAAAGATACTATTTTGCATTGGGAATGGGGCCGAATATGGCAGATCAAGAGCCCAGAATGTGATAATGTTTCTGCAGAAATGCTAGTTTTAGTTTTCCTTTAAATGATATCTTTAAAATTTATATTAATTTCTTACAAATATTTTTTTTTGTTTATTATTATAAGCAGACACCTTGTTATTTTAAAATAACAAGTTACATTGTTTTTTTTTTTAAAAGAACTTTTTGCCTCAAGATCCGTTTCTGTTGACAGGAAGTCCTACAGTCGCTCCAGGAGTAGATCAAGATCATATGACAGAAAAAGGAGCGTTTCACCAAAGAGGTGAGTTATCGATGATTTTCATTCTTTGTGTCCACTAGGTTAAAAGTAAGTTGTGGCTAATCTATTACAATGAAGATAATCAGAATGATAGTACCATAATCACTTTGTTTTGTCATTCTAAAAATAGGTAAGTGTAACCAGGAAATTATTATGTTGTAAAGTCAAATACTTTGAATGCAATGAAAAACATTGAATGTGTATTCCAAAAATATCTTTAGCCTTACTTTAGGTATTAATTGAATAAAAAAAAAAAATGAGAAGATGTTGGTTGTTTATTTCACAGATCAAGGTCTTATAGTAGGTCACCATCACCGCGAGGTGGTAACAGAGATGGATCCCCACGCAAAAGTCGCAGTCTTTCACCAGAAACAGAGTGATGTTCCTGGGCATTTCTTGCTGTATGACAAACTGAAGGAGTGTGCTTAGACTAAACACGATCAATCATGACAAGAGCAACTCGAACAAGGAGAATACTAAAGGTTTTGCTAGTTTTTCTGCTGGGCATTTAATACCTGTGTGTGACTTGAGGAGTTGCCTGTCAGAACAAAGGATATACCGATTTCTAGAGGCTGCCTCAATGTATCCTAACATTTTAACAGAGTTGTGCTGTAGGGGTTTTATCATTTCTGAACAAAAGGACAGGTGTAGTATCTTAGAACATTTTAAATCCTTATTTACACAAAGTTTTCTTTGTTCTCCTACACATTCATGAATTTTCGTCACAAATCTTTTTAACTTGTGTGCTTATTGATCAGGGTTTTTTCCCCCTCCAACAAAATCTGTTTTAATCATTTTCATGTAAGACAGTGTTCCATTGTATATAGTTCAGAGGTTAAAGAGTTGATCATCTGGATCATGTTTCACTTGACATTTGTACTGTTCCCTGATGACACAGGAATCATTTTATAATCAATAAAATTGCATACATGTCGACAGATCTGATATCTGTTTTATTTGTGTTTTGATTCCTACGCTACGGGACTGGTTAATCCAAATGACACCTGCATATGCACAAAGCCTTGTCTCTTTTCTAAATTTGAAAATGAACTAACTCTAGTTAGATAACGATGATAATCGACTGCCACTCGTTGTAGAACCTCTATGGATACTTCACATCCAAGTCTTCTTGTTAATACATGGCTGATACTTTGTAAACATATTCCTTTCGATATGCAGATGTCATTTGGATTAACCAAAGCAAAGCCTCATGTCTTTTCTAAATAAGGAAATGAACTAACAAGAGTTTGATAACGATGATAATCAACTGCCACGAGTTGTAGAACTTATTTCTACCATAACCTTTTAACGTAAAAATATATATATTGTGTACAACATTGTTTCACATAAGAATACATCGTAGGTTGTCTGATTGGCTCATTGATATGCAAAAAGAGACAAAATCGCTATTTTTGAAGCAAAATACTTGTTTATTCAGTAATCTTTTTTGGAAACATCCCGTAACATTAGTTCATTGAAACACGTTACAAAATTACACAAATTGTTAATCTTTTGAAAAAAAAAAAATTGGAACTAGATTTTATTGCGGATAAGAGTAGTGCTTCTTCACAGGAAAATGTAAATGCAGACAAACCTGTATCTTGATTCCGAAACAACCTTGCCCGTCTCCAACCTAATATCAAATGTTGGGAAACCAAAATTACTGCATTTACCATTTACTATCCCCTTTCCTCTCCACACAGTTTTACCCCATCACTGATCTTGACTGCCGGCAAGAGTGACAGATCGTCACTGTCTGCTATGTGATGATGGACAGCAGACGATGAAGACAGTCGCACGTGGCGAAAGAAGTTCAGGGTCACAGATCATGGTTGGGTCTAATGTCAATGCCTCGTCCAATAGATTTGGCTGTCACTAATAATACACGTGTGCATTATGCGTATGAATAAACTGAATATGGTTTTAAATGAATAGTCTGGGCGTGAGATAACATACGCAGGCAATGGTAGAAATTGTTATAACCCTACAACTAAGTTGGGATGGAGAATGGGTTTGATGGATTTGCCAAGATAATTATATGCCATCTGTCAAAAAGTATGCTGTACTCGGCAAGTTATTTGTTAGTTATCCAGTACCATAGAGTGGTGGGGCTCAGTGTCCTATACAGTGATCAGGGTATAGTACACCTGTCCTGTAGAGGTTACCAGAGGCCCCTGGATAGAAATTGCTGAGCCAGAAAGCAAGAGTCACTGAGGCGTAACCGAATCATGCAACACAGGTAAGTGCTACCTGTGTGTGCGGTCATTTCAACCCCAGACTTGAACCAGGAAGGTTCTCAGATGTTATAGGCTGGGTGCCACAGGGTTGGATGCATAAGCTGGGTGCTTATCATATGGTAATGTAATGGTAATGTGTGCCCAAAGTAATTCCAAGTTCAGAGATAGTTGGAGTCACCATATGAAAGTTGTGTGCTGGGTTGGTCTCCAAAAACTATGCTACTTGGAGAAGCTGTGTGCTGTGCCCACCTTTGTGGGAGTTTTAAAGAGACAGGAGAGAGTGAGCTGTGTGCTCGGAAGTAGAAGGCAGAGACACCAACAGTAAGTACATGGTTTATAATTCATGTAATGTTGATATTGTTATTTTGTAAAATATGTGGAAAATTAGGGAGAGTATATTGTTATAAGTAATTTGCTAGCATAATAGTGTAATATTGATAGGTCATTGTTGTACAGGTATTTTCTAAACGATTGTAAGAAATGAGGGAATATTAATAGAGAAATAGTTACTAGAGAGAAAGAGAGATACATGTATTAAATGCTATTATGTATGGAATGTAATTATATGGAATAGAACTCATTGATAAATGAACTGACTCTGTAACCTTGTAGGTGACCTTTGGGCAGGGACACATGAACCTCTGAACCAGACAGGGAGACCTATAAATGTATCGCTAGACCCGTAGTGGAAGTGACGGTCCCAGGATAACGAGTCAACCAGAGTGGTGTGGGGGCCAGTTTATATCCCATCAGTGATGTAAAGTTAAACCAATCGGTGGAGCAGAGTGCAGGACTGTGTGGTACCACCTGGAGAGATGGGAACTTTGGGCAGACAGTGAACTATATATGTAGAGACTTGGTTCTGAAAAATGGGTTCTGTGTATTTAATCAAATATAAGTAGTTGTATTGAATGAATGTGAGAGTGGATGGGTGCTAAGTGAGTTGAATATATATTTGTTATAATTTTGTATATATAAATTCCAAGTAAATACATTTATTGAATGTATTATTTATCGTTGTTTTATCTGTTTGCTACCAATTAGGCTGAGCCTATATACCCACAATTCTTGACACCATCCACAAATCTTGTCGGAAAAAGACTTATTTAAATGTAGACCGTCTGGGGTATAATAAAAACCAAACGTCTCGGGTTTTGTTTTATGGTTTAATTATCACAGTAAAACCTACAATAAACAGAAATGAGATGTAAACGACACATATATTGCACAAGTACATTGACCGGAACAATTACACACGACGTAACAAATACTCGCGAATATGATAGTAATATGACAACGTATAATGGACAATACACTTACCAGGGCACAGACAATGGATAATGTGGCTCTGATGTGACGACCTGACCACCTCGGTGTCCAGGAGAGGAATGAATGGTGAGTGCTGGGTTGGGGACGTGACAGGGCTCCGGTCCGCCCGTGCATTCCGTTCACACCGCTCATACATACATGAAGTAAACAACATGACACGTGACATATGAGGTATTAGTGCAGTGGACCCAGTACACATTGGGGGTACCAGGTACATGGGTTACATAAATTACAGATCAATGACACTTCACAGGAATGTTAACGGCCATGTATAGATGTGGATGCAGTTTTCATTTTGCAGAAACATTTGGTATTAGTTATCCTCAGGGCGACAAAATGTAGAGCTTGTGTTTCTTTACAGATCTAGTGCTTTTGTGGATGATTAGAAAGAGTTAATACTTTTGGCCTGACATTTCAATTAATGGTTCTTCAAATTCTAATCTCATGAACATAGAATATATGCATGTTTAAATGTTGAGCATTGAATACAGATGTTGATTATCGAAAAGGGTTATTCCAGTAAACTGTCTATTTTACCTGAGGATTCTAAACTCATTCACTTCTACCCATAGCTCGGTTTCCCATAAATTATCTATTAAATTTTACAGATGGTATCCATTATCAAACCCTGGAGTCTTGGATTGGGATAGATGTTTTCCCAAAGCTCAAACATAGAAATTAAGATTTTCAGCAAACATACTTACAATAACTTTGACATAGTGAGGAGAAAACTTATATAAAAATGGAAGTCACAATGTAATGGTAGTGTACAATCCAGATCCTTGGAAATCTTTAGTGTCAACAATTGTGTAAACTTTGTTGACTCTATTTCGTTGTATCCTTTTCCTTCCTGATGTTTTCTTCTATTGTAGTCAATTTCGTTTTTTCAAAACAGTCCTAGAATTGATATAGCACAACTTGGAACGTAAGAAACTAACATGTAAAATTAAAGAATAGAGTGTGTTGGCACACATTAGATGTCAAAATCAAAGATGTCGGCCATTTTGTCCCCCCCATATCCAAATCAAACTTGACTGTAGACCAGTTAAAATCTATAGATGAAAATTTGAGAATGATCAGTCCAAGAATTCTCCAGAAACATGTTTTACAATTTTTATACAAATTCATAACCAAAAAAGGGGAAACCTAAAGGAATGCAAGAACTCAAGAGGAATCACTTTGCTGTCAGTAGTAGGAAAATTGCTTGGAAGGATCATCATCGATCGCATAAGAGAAGGAATCAATAGCAGGCTAAGGAAAGAACAGGCAGGATATAGAAAGGGAAGGAGCACGACGCAGCAGGTCTTTATACTTAGGAACATCATAGAGCAAGTGAACGAGTGGCAGGCTACATTATATTTGAACTTTATAGATTTTGAAAAAGCTTTCAACTCCATCCATCGTGAAAGCCAGTGGACCATCATGAGGAAATATGGGGTACCAGACAAGATCGTAAGAATAGTACAGTTATTTTATGAAGATTTCCAGTGTGCAGTAGAAGACCAAGGAGAGACAGGAGAATGGTTTAACATCAAGACAGGAGTAAAACAAGGGTGCAATGTGTTCGGATTTATCTTCTTGGTAATTATAGACTGGGTGAGGAGGAAAGCAGTTAGAAACGGTGAGAACGACATGGAGGATTTAGATTTCGCAGATGATATCTCCTTATTCTCCTCAACTAGACAACAGATACAAGACAAAACCACAAGACTTGATGAAGAAGCAAGGAGAGTCGGACTTAAGATCAACGAAGATAAAACTAAAGTGATGAAAATCAATGTATGGAACGACAGTACCATCAAACTAAGAGGTATGGACATCGAGGATGTAGAGCAGTTCACATACATAGGAGCAACAGTGTGCAAAGAAGGTGGTGGAATGAAAGACATTAAGAACAGACTTTCAAAAGCCAGGAGAGCATTTATCCGGCTCAAGCATGTCTGGAACTCAAGCAACGTCCCGAGGAAAACAAAATTGAAACTGTACAAGGCATTAGTAATACCTGTCCTACTATATGGATGTGAAACGTGGAAAAAGAATAAGGGTAATGATCGGTTGGTAGATGTTTTCCACAACAAGTGCCTCAGGAGAATTCTCAAAATACAATGGCAAGAATACATAAAGACGGAAGAAATATTGGAAAGAGCGAGCATGAGGCCAATTAGCCAGGAGATAAAATGCCGCAGATGGAAAATGATAGGACACATACTGAGACAGGACAGAAACACAACTGCAACGTTGTCTTAACCTGGGCCCCAGAAGGGAAGCGGAAAAGAGGAAGACCGAAGATGACTTGGAGAAGAACAGTGGAAAGAGAGGGAGAGAAGAAGCAGGCTGGAAATCCTGGAATGAGGTGCAGACAGTGGCAACAGACCGGCA